GAGAGAGAGAGCAGAATGAATAAATAAATCAGTAATATTTTTTTCTCTCTGTTTATGTTGAAATAAAGAAAATAAAAAATAGGGAGAACGAGCGGGGGATAATAAAACAAGAAGGATAAGAGGCGAGATGAGAGCGGTTGAGACAATTTCGTTGGCATTTGTCGCCTGTGTCCTTCATAAAACTTTTGGTCACGATCGTGGAAATGTCGCAATGAGTCCAGTGAATGGGATGAAACTTTTGTCGCGTTCACCGAGAACTCTGCTTTATCCGAACCCTTCAACTCTACTGGTAAGTGTACTCTGGAGTATTTAAGACACTTTGCGCCAACACTGGTTGACATATTTAGGAATTATTTGCGGTGAGAGCGTTTTATAATTGAATTTTAGAGGTCAAATTTGGGGTGGGTTGAGTGAAGATGCTGAGTCATATATGACTCATTATGCTCGAAAATAATTGTTATCTGATGGTCGATACGATTTTTTGTGCGGAAAAAATTCAGGTCGCGGCTTAAATTCAGGTTTGGGCATGAATTTAGGTTGTGACTTGAATTTAGATAATGGCTGTAATTCTGATCAAGGCTTGAATTTAGGAGATGGCTTAAATTCAGGTCGTGGCTTAAAGTCAGGTCGCCCTAAATTCAGGTAATGGAGTGGATACAGACAATGGCTTAAATTCAAATATTGACATGGATTTAAGTCACAACAAAAATTCAGGTCATATCTTAAATTCAATCTTAAATTAAATTAAGTTTAGACATGAATGCAGGTTTGATGTGACAACTTCTTTTTACCTTGGAATAGTTTCAAGTTATTTTCCCCCCAAAAAAGTGTAAAAAACGCGAATCTAGAAGAAACCGTGGGAAGAGACTGGTGTCCCACGACATTTCTTCTACCCTGGAAATCTCATTAAATTTTCGATTATCCGTGTGATTGTACCGTACCGGGGTATTTCAAAATTGATAAAAATTTTCAATTATCTACTGGGTTCGAGGATTTCGATATCGATCCAGTTCACTGAGTACTTTTAATTAAAATCTATAATCAGCAATGCCATTTGATTTTCAGATGATAATTAATATATCAGATTAATAACTGCACTGTCGACTATCGGTTAAGCTATAAAATCCAATGGGCTTTGGGCTATGCTATCTCCATTCTCATGGAGCTCGATCAGTCGAGGGTTATATATCTTGCGCTTAATCGACCCGCCGCTCACGGGGGTCATTTCGAAGGCTAAAAAGAATTTAACGTCAGTAAGAATTCCTTTCTCCTCGGGGAGAATTTATGGCCTAAGTTCATTCATATTATTTTTACGTAGATATCAGAGAATCGTGAATTCTCATGTATTCATTGGACCGAAGGATTATGTGTTCGATAAATCATAAATAATTTAATGGACATGGACAAAAGTCTTCAAACATGGATTTTCTATGCAACGGGCATTGAGCTCTCATTTATTACACTCTTAGATGCTGATCAAGAAGTTGGCGACAATTTAAACGTGACCTGATTTTAAGTCATCACTTGCATTTTGGTTGAATCTCAATTTCAGGTTATGAGTCAAATTTACGTCCTGACTGTCCATTCTGTGGCTTAAATAGGCGATTTAAATTCAGGTGCCGACGTAAATTCAGGTTATTGCTTAAATTCAGGTCAGTAATGAGGTTCAAGTCACATCTTAAATTCAGGTTTTCAATTGAATTTAGATTGTGTCTCAAATTAACGTCATAATTAAATTGTAGGGCACGTCTTAAAATCAGGTCACGGAGTAATATCAGGTTATGACTAAAATTCAGCTCGTGGCTTAAATCTAATCTAGAGAGGATGGCACATGGAAGGCCTCAAGTCACGTATCCTTGGAATTCATTCAAAAATACTTCTTCCCAAATTGAATTCATTTCCAGACAAACTCCTTTACAACGACATAAAAAAATAAAAAAATCTTCAATTCTTTATTCTCATCGCACTCGTATCCTTTTACTGGCTATCGTCGTGTTGCCCTTGGTACCCAGAATTGGGAATGAACCGTGACTGCGTTTTCACAAAGTGTGGGCCCATTAGAGCGCTTCAAGTGTAGGGAACAGCGACGAAGGGAGAGTGCGGGGGTATGAGGTTGGGGCAATAGAAGTAGAGGCTGGAGGGTTGAAATGAGGATGGCTAAGTGCGAGCTTAAAAGCACCGGCACGTACTATCGAGCGAGACAGGGGTACGAGTTTCGTTTTGAAACGCTCTGGCAATCCAGCGCGTTAATTAGTTAGACTGATTGAATAGTAAGTAGGTAAATCTTCTGTGTGTTTGCGTGGCATGCCATAAATTTCAGTGAATTATTAGGGAAATCTGGTTGACAAAGAGATTGATTTATCATCATTGAGGGATAATCAATTGCAATGGATGGAGAATATTGCGAATACGAATATTTGTAGACATATGATGATCATGATTATGATGGAAATAATTTGGACAAATGATTCTCATAATTATCAGCAACTTCATACATTTCGGAGAATCAAAAAAACTTGCAGATATTTTCGTGACATAACATTTGAAAAAATTGAATTGAATGAGTGAGAAAAATGAGTCACTGCATTAATGGCATCTAATTCCAATGATTTTACATTGCAGTTAATTTTTGGAATAGGTACTCCATTGCAATTAGACAGGGAGAGTGTAATTGTCGGTGCATTCACAAAGATAGTGTACACATTACCTCAGAATTCCACGGATTTTACAGAACCAGGAGTGCAATTTGAGAGAAATGGTCAAACTCGTTGGAGTATCTACAAAATATTAACGAATGCTGCTAATTATTACGGTTTCGGTGGAAAGTCCTGCCTGCTGAGGGCAATATGCGAGGTGGCTGCTGCCCCATTTGACCTCCGTCACGGCCTTTTCGGTCAGATAATTCAAGCCTTGCTCACGTAAGTTCAAACCTCCTTCAAAATCTAACTAAATCCCGAAAGATCATCAAACTGAAGCTGAAGAATTGTACTTTCTCATTCTCGAAAACTTCACGAAGTCGACTTGGAAACTTATTCGAGAGGTTGAAAACTTTTCAAATTCCCTCGATGAGGGCTCCACTGTACGTTGCATCCATTATACGGGAATACACCATGTCCGACCATTTATCTCTTAGATGACCATCAAAAGGCTGGAGATGATTGAAATGTGGCCTCATCTTGAATTTAGGTCGAGGCTTAAATTCGGATCATGACTTAAATTTAGGTGAGGCTTGAATTTAGGTGGCGACTTAAATTCAGGTCTTTTCTTAAATTCAGGCCATGACTTAAATTCACGTGTTGGCTTAAATTCGGGTCGCAAATAAAATTTGAGTCACGCCTTAAATTCAGGTAATAAGTTGAAATTCGGTTGCGTCTTAAAATCAAGTTACGACTCGAATTCAGGTAACGATTCAAATCTCGAGGACGACTTAAACTTAGGTCACTAATCAAATTTAAGTCGCAGCTTGAATTTAGATCGTTACGAAAAATTCCATTTTCACATTCCCGAAAACTTCACAAAGTCGGCTTGGAAACTCATTCGAGACGTGAAAACTTTTCAAATTTCCTCAGTGAGGGCTCAACTACACGTTGCATCCAATCTACGGGGATACACCACGTCCGACCAATAATCAAATTATCCTTCAATTTGAAGTTGCTCCGGGGCCAATAAGAGTGATGAAGTATTTTTGGATAAATTGGGGGGGGGGGGGTGAGGGAATGCCCTCCTAGATTTGACTGTGGAGTTTGGGGGGTCGGAGTTTCTCGACAGACAAACCACAGGACTGGATCGATGTCGGCGGGAAGGTTGAGGAAATACTGGTGTAGAGGATAGTTTTCCCATGCATGTTACATCCCTTCTTCTGATATCACCTCAACCAGTTCCGGGCGTAATTGACTCGATCGAAGTTTCAACTTTATACTCGTGGCGATTGAAAAATATATTTATTTACAGAGGAAAGGTATATTATGTGAAATCGTTGACGGGCAAAATAAAATAAGAAATACATTTGAGTCGGACTTAAATTCGGGTTGTGGCTTAAATTCAGGTCCCGAATCGCATTCAAGTCACGTCTTAAATTCAGGTTGTCACTTACATTTAGATTTAGTAAAGATTCAATCATTTAGAATGAAGTAATAAATATTTTCGATTAATTAAATATCGGAAACAAAATAGTACTCAAACTATTGTAAATATTATTACAAATAACTGAATAGTGAAATACAACAGAAAAATACTGCAGTTGTATAACAGCAACAATGAACTTGAAAAACCTATTTAAATTTATATTTCCATTCAATCCCTATGAAATTTCCTTAGAAAAATGATTTCTGAATACTATAAACTTGAATAAACACCGGAAAAATGATAATCCACGTATGCAAATAAACCTATCACCAGCAGGATGCAGCTCTCCACCCTAGATAAACTCACCCCCCGACAATAACCCCCATAAAATATCCCCATAACCCATGTCAGTATGATTTTACAAAGCCATAAAATCCAGTGACATAACCGAGCCACTGTTCCGGCACGCATGTGGAATTTTGCAGGCCTTCAAGTACCATCGAGCCATACGACGAGCACGAGGATCGCGAATACCATGCAGCTGAAAGACTCGGTAAGCACGTGGGCGAAAACTGCCACGCCCTTTATCCAGAATGCGGTAGAAGCGCCCTAGACGTATTTTCCACCATAGGATAGCCTGGAGAAAAAAAATGCCTCGACTTGCCAGGGCTGAAAAACTTTGTGACGTACATTTTCTTTTTTTAACTATATTTTTATTCCGAGAAAAACCTATTTTTCCCTCTTATTCTCCCTTCTTCAGTTCAGCACTCAAGTTCTCTTTTGTTTTTGCTCGGTGCATTCCTTCAGCGATTTTCATTTGCCTCAGAGTATAACCGGGATTCATGGAATTCCCCGGGTGGAAGCAATCTCTTTCTCCTTTCTCTTTTACTCAGTCCAGAGATTTCGGGATAACACCAACTTGTTTTTGTAGAATTAATAAAACATTTGTTATGAAAGATGTTCCTATTGATTGTTTTTTTTGTTGTTTCGTTATTCCTTTTGCAATTCCGCTATTTCATCTTTGGCAGGGGGAGAAATTTCCACTTTAGGAACCAAATACTTTTTATTTATGGAGATGAAGGGAGAGGAGCAGAGGCCGTGATGATCTATACAGAGAAAACGTATCTCCAAAGTTCAGAATTAATGAAAATTTTTTTTTATTTTCCTTGAAATGTAAAATCTCTATAAGAATTGGATAAAAATTGTGGGGAAGTCTAATTCAGGTCATGGCATAAATTTAGGTCGCGGTTTAAATTCAGGTCCAGGTGTGGATTTACATTTCGCTTAAAATACAGGTCATGGAATAAATTTAGGTCACGATTAAAATTCAGGTCATGACTTGCATTTTGATCGTGGCTTAAATTCAGGTAGGGGATTAAATTCAGGTTGATAATCAAATTTTGCCTACGAATTGAATTCGGATCACTCATGATATACAAATACCAAACAAATTAAAAAGTCTCCTATTTCAAAATACATTTCAACCCTGAGGATATGTACATGAATAATGAATTGAACGTGAATGTACTTATATGCGAATTCCCGGTGCATTCCGATGAAAAAAAAGTTGCTGGAGAGAGACAAAATTCTCATCGTCCTGCCTCTATCGTTCGCTCTTCATCGTTGCATACCACGTACCACCACCTCCGTTAGATTAGCGAGAATATTCATTAAGCCAGTCGTGTGGGCAATCTTTCTCTGTCTGGTTCACGGATGAAAACCGCGAAATTCCAGATCTGGGCGTTTTTCAATAAAACTAGGGGAAAGAATTTCCAATAGGATAAGGGGGGGGGGTGAGTTTAATTGTTGATGCGAACTGTTGGGGATATTCACGTCGAAGTGTATTTTTTATACCTTTAATTCTATGAAATATATCCAATAATTTGCCGCGGCTTAAATTCAGGTCACGAAGCAAGTTTGAGTCATGTCTCACTTTCAGGTTGCTACTTTGATTTCGACGTCTTAAATTCAGGTGATGAAGCAACTTTGAGTTTCGTCTTAAAATCAGGTTACGGCTTAAATTCAGGTTATGACTTAAATTCAGGTCTATCTCTACATTGAAGTTTCGGAATTAAGCCCCTGTTTCTCATTCTCACGATGAAATATATGAAATTATTAAATATTTTATTCTTATTTTTTTTATATTCGCGCTTTTTATTCAATTTTTATACATTTATAAAATTAATTGAATATCCCAAATGTTATCGTTTATGTCATATCTTCACATTAAAAAAATATTCTAAAATTAGTACTCCAACCTCTGAGTATCAAATAATGACGATGAATAATTCAAAATAAACTTTCTAATGTCGAAAACAAAAGTTTTAATACCTCTGAAACGCATAATTCATAGCCACCTCCGCAGAATATGAGAAAGTGTTAACACTCACAGGGGTGAATTAAGTTCTCATTTCAACATTTGCAGTAGGTGGGTCTTACCCTCTTCTTGAACGCTATTGTACCGAGTACTTAGAATACAGGTGCGCAAATACATACAAATACATTCAACCGGGATGAAAGTTACGGATGGAAAACTCGACATTACTTAGTTTTCCATACGCCAGGACCGAGTGAAGCTGGAAGCCCTGCTTTTCTGTATAATGGAAGGATATACACGAGAAACTCGGCGTAAACGAGACAGGACAAATGACAAAACAACTAATGGGTAAAAGTTTGTATGTGCGGGGGGGGGGGTTAAAAATGAAAATGGGGATGAAGGTTCGTTATTGCGGTGGGCGTGGTCAAAAATAAATATTTTAATTTAATTTTTAATTTTTTGTAGCGGGACTGAATTAGCACAGGTTTAATAATGAACTTCTCTCCCAAGGACCAAAACCGGGAATTCGAACCTCAATTCGTTCAGTTGAAATTTTCTAAGTTTTTTTCATTCTATTTATTTTTTGCACTCGTTTATTCTTCTTTTTTCTCAACTATTTTCATCACGTTATAGTATATTATTATACAATGATACATAAATATCTTGGCTCATCCTCAAATGAGGATTAAATTTGTCATTGAATTGATTTATAATATGTCTAATGTCAAATAATTCATCGAAAGGAATTGAATTTAACCGAATGAATAAATAAATAAATGAAAAAAGGGTTGAAATAGTGAATGCATTTAATTCAAAAAATTCATCCTGCCAGTTTTGGGCTCTGGCGTCATCGGGAATCCCAGAAAGAAGTGGAAAATGTAATACGAAAGCAAGTAAAGGAATAGCGAAACAGGGTAAAAGAAGAAGCAATTTACAGTGGATTCCTTGGGTCTTTGACCAGTCAGCCAATACGTGGGCTCCAATTACTTGAGCAAAGAGTAGAGATTTCATGGGGGAAGTCGAAATACACGGATATTCACATACAAACATCACTGTCCTCACAATTCAGTTTGAAACTGTTCGTTTGGGATGTTACGTGCCGTAGTCTTGATGCTGCTACTATCCACCGTTCCGAGATTATCCACTGCAAATCAGCCGGTCTTATTATTTCCAAAGAGTACGGTCTTTCAAGTGAGTATTTTAGCGGTGAAAATGTAAGGGAATCACTATTTTTGGGGCTGATGCAATTGTATGAGTAAATATGAGCTCAAGTATGAGAGGTAAATTCATAGAATTTTGAATAGTTGTTGCTTCTGAATGAAAGCAATTTTTTTTTCAAATGTAGGTGTTGAGCCCCATTCTTCGACATTAATTAAAATTTAACCCATATATTCTATTTTTTAAATAAAATTCTGAATACTATTGTAATTATCATGTCTGATGGGCTTGTAGCAATTACTTACGAATAATCTGCATCTTTAAATTGAAAAAATTGCCTTCCCCGCAGCTTCTACAGCTGAAGCTAATGAACATCAAATATTTCCGGAAAGTTTTGAATGCTACGAAAACACAAACTCCGAATGAGTCTGTAAATAGTGATTACCTTGTTCATATTTCCGTGATAAAACAGAGTGGAATTCCTCGATTTTTTTCTTCATCTGTTCTAAATCTCTGGTTCCATGAGACAATCGTCTTGCGTCGAATTTTCATGAAGTTCCCAGACAAAAGAGAATTGAATGCCATTCTATGAAACATGAATAAGTAAAGAATATATAAAGGAATATAAATAAATAATATGAGTAAATAAATCCCCTTTTCCATGGGGATATAATTTCAATTCCCCGAAATCAGGAAAATCCATAGGACATAGTTGACAAATGACAATTTCACTGTGACCCCGAGACCAGTGCTCGACCGCAATCTCATTCTGAAAAATAATAACGCCGAATCGTTGGGATATCGAAAATCAATGAACTCTTGTGGCTTTGCGTTAGGCTCGGCCACTGAGCGGATGATATGTAAGCAAATACAGCTTGAATGCCGTATGAATCGAATATTTGGACACGTAGCGCCGATGAATTTTTGAGTGACGTGATTCAACTGAGTGAATTACTGCCTGATCCGTAGAAACAGACAGTCAACAACATTATTTCATCCATCATTATATCATTATTTCATCCATCATCAAAATTATAAAAAACAAGTGGGCTAAATAGTATAGTTTTTTGTAAATAAATTCGCAATATGCTTCTGAATGCTCATTTTAGACATCATCTCCTTCTATAGTACATAATCCATCGTTACATATCATTTTATTAAATTCAATAAAATTTCTTCTTCAATCAATTGTCATATTTTTAATTTAATTCAATGCTTGATGACATTTAAAATCTGAAAAATCGTGAATTTTTAGTCATCGACTAATACATGAAATATAATTGCGTGATTTTTGTCAACAGTTGTCAATTGGCATCTCTGTTCCCCTCATTACTAATAAGCGAGGAACTATTGCGACGTCATTTGCATTTCAATTTAACTACGCATTACCATGGAATTTGACACAACTTCATGAGCCAGGGATTATACCTGCCCGCGAGAATCACGATTTCGATCTTCATACCGCGTATGCTGCTATTGAACAATTACTCGACACGTGAGTACATAAATTTGCATGAATTAACGGCGCATGGGGATAGTGGCCCGTCCTAAATTTAGTATATTAAAAATTACCTGAATTTTATATTATAGAATTTTTTTTTTTTAATTTCCAAATGTTCAAAAATGAATTAATCAATATATGTTAATTTTTATTGACTAATTTTTCTTCAATTTAGTCTTTACTTTAATTCAGAATTTTCCTGTGCCTGAAATCGCGAAAAGTTTTTAAAACGATTTTTTATTAATAACGACAGAAAAGGGAGAGGAGAAAGAAATTATCAAAATCTCATTAAATTTTCCCTTCTCTCCACATCCGTAATTACCTGAATAATCCATTACCAATTTCCATAATTCCACTAATAAACAATGAAAAATCATGTCGACAGAATTAAATTTTCAAAATAAACAACCAAACCGCCGATTACTCAATTCAACAAAACGAACAAATTGGAAACTATTTGCACTGCGAGGGCTTATCGAATTCCCATCCGTGGATTTTTCTCCGGAGGATATACAACTGCCCCCCCCCCCTCCCAACTCATTGCACAACTCGTGTGTGTGTGTGTGTGTGTGTGTGTGTCGACAATGGGGCAGAAAATCCTAGGCTCCGTAACTCGGAGAATGGTCTCAGCCGAGAAAGAGAAAGAATATAAAGAGGGATAATAATGTGAGCGTCGAACGGGTGGGGATGATGCTGTGAGTGAGAGAGGAGTGGGGATGACGTTCTGAGCGTGAAGCGGAGTCGGGACGACGTTGTGAGCGTGAACCGAAGTGGGGACGACACTGTGAGCGTGGAGCGGAGTGGGGAGAAGTGAAAGGGCCTCATTTTATTCGAGCGAGTATTTATCCCCGCGATTTCTCGTTCGAATGGAGCTAGCACTCACGCGTTAAGGGTTGGCCATTAAAAGGAACATTTTCGACGAGAGGTCCACTTTTATGCGCCCCAGAAGCAGTGCAAAGCGACGGATAATCCTGTTTTAAAATTGCAGTAGTTGAAACAATACAAATTTCTGTTGAAATGAAAGTAAAAACGATGAAACTTAAATCTCTGGGCGAGATAATCCGCGCTTTTTATCGCTCACAAAGGCCTTCAGCCTAAGGTGGGGGAGGAATGCGCATGCGCTGTGTATCCTCAGAAGAGACATTAAAGTTTTCAAGTATCGTTTTACTCCGCTGCTGAGATGACGTGATATAAATTGAATTTCATTGAACCCCGGATTAAATTAAAAAAATAATTATCGGGCTGTTACGTAAATTACAGGGAGCTACGAAGAACGTGGGTATTATCAAATTGCAATGAGTAATTTTAGTTGATGGTGGATAGAGAAGAATGGGACTATCCGACGTCAAAGAAAAGTGATTCTCATTCAGAATTTTTCATTGTTGATTCTGCTTTTGTTCATACGTGAGATAAAAAAATAGAAAATGTTATGAAATACAACTGAAAAAATCATATCTAAAAATAATCGTAATTATAATTATATGTAAAAACCATCGAAAAGGTATGCTCAATCGTTGAGAAGTTAGTAGACCAGGGTGGGATGAATTAATGAGAAGTAAGTGCAGCCACAGGGGCGTAAATTAATTGGAATATAAAGTAATTAATTCAAGAAGCGAGAAAAGCACCAGCGGCTGGCAAAACATTTCACGGCAGATCGATTTATGGCGACGCAGAGTTTAACCGAGAAATTCTTCAGCGAATGAATTTCCTCTTGATTATATGAGTTGTATAATTCATTTCCCTGAGCAGAATTCGAATTATCATGTATTCACGGTGGAAGTACAGGGGAGATGACCACGGGCGTTTAATCCCACTTTTTTTTAATATTTTTAAACATTTGTTGAAATAGATTACTGCCGACTCTCCCATGGAAAAGGAGAAGTACTGTATTGAGTTGCGAATGGAGATGTTGAAATGTATCGCAGCGTGAAATTCCGCTAAATGAGATCTTGATATTTACTTGCCTAGGTATGGCTGGAGAAATGGTAGGGAGTGTTTTCTGAGGAGCATCTGTGAACTAGCTGAAACGCCTCTAGGTGAAACCGACCGAGACATCCTTCAGGAAGTAATTCACTTGTTTCTGACGTGAGTTTATTGAATCAAAAATTTGTACAGAACACGTGATAATTGTATTTGTCACGGAAAATTTGTACAATTGTTGAATTACTCATGGCTTTCCTATCTCCCTTTTGGCCCTTACGAGTTTGACCCTTAGAAACCTCATGACCCTTAAGGGCCCTTCCTGCCCTTTTCAGACTATTGACCCTTGAGCATGTCAGATGTACAAGACTCTGTCCCTCATGAATCTGATTCTTATGAGTCTGACCCTCACAGGTCATGCAAGTTCAGCGTTATATAAAATATAATCTGACCCTTATGGATGTTGTTTGACCCTCGTCCATATCGGACATGTAAGAACCTGACCCTGATCAGCCTTTTTTGTTTCAATCTCGTGTCCCCATTTCATACGATCAGCTAAAAATCCAACTTCAATTGTCGTTCCAATACTATCCTTCCCTCAGAATCCCAAAAGAGAAAAATTCCCTGAGAAATAGAATTTAAATGCGCTCCCATCGACATCAATTGGAATATCGACAAGCGATTATATTCAATTTTTACAGCCCAACTGGGGATTTACCGGCGGCAGTTAATTCCAGTCACCAGAGCGTAGACAAATTGTATCACGAAGCAGAGCTATTGGGTAGATCTGGTGGTGACTGTACACTGACATACTCCGATTGTCTCGAGTCACCGCTCAAGTCATTTACCAAGATTGCACTGACTTCCGGTTAACTGTTTCCAAAATTCACTGTTACAGGAGATTCACACGACGAATTTCATTGTGAGTAACAACCAATCTCCATTTTTTTTCGTTTTTTGGAGGACTGGCTAACGATAATTGCTTGTTTTTTTTTTCAAAATAATTTTCACGTGATTGGTCGACAGCCAATCACAAGGGAGCGCCTGCGGGGAAAATAAGTTTACCACTTCGATGAATTTTATTTTAAAGTGATTCCGTGGTGTGTGAGGGAAAAATATCTGTGAAGCTCTGGGCGAATTGAAAAATTGAAAAAAAAAATTAAAAGCGTCTGAAATTTCAGATTTATGGAGTGACGAATTAATTATTTCATGACTTTTTTTATCAATTTATATTTTATTAATTATTGCGTGACTTTTTTTATTGAGCGGAGAGGGAATGTTAGCCCAACACTGACGGCCAATGTTGGCTGAACGCTGGCTGCCAAGGTGGACCCAGCATTGAGCCAACACTAAAATTATTTTTCAATTCATTTCGACAATTTTATTTTGCAGTGGAGAATTTTTCTACAGATTTTTATGCCTCATAAAAGATTAAACTATCTGAATTAAAGGTGACGGATGATAAAACAATAATTTGAATAATCAAAAAGCTCTGAAATGTCCGCTTTATTTGCTAAAGTGTCTCGCAATAAGACCCTAAACCTCCAGCGATGATGATCATCCCGTCGTAAACTCCCCAGCAATAGTACTTTGATTATGCAAATGCTTCTTCAAGTGGGAGTGATAGCCCCAAGTAACGCGATTGAATAGTTTGAAGGAGTCATTTCACGAGGATTCAACCCCATCGCTGCATTAAATTCGCGGAATAGTTGGGAGTTTAGCATAGCGATTTTCGAGACAATAAGCCATTGAATCCGAGTTATAATAAGCTCCGGGGGGGATGCCCTCATGTCAAAACTTGCACGTAGCATCTTCCTTTTGTTCGTTGGTCTTGGCAGTGTCGTGTGCACGTTACAGCACCTGCCATCATCCAACCCTAGTTACTATCTTCCCTCATTTGGGGTGAGAGCGCCGATGAGTGCGTGCGTGTGTGTGTCATCTTGCTGCCTTGATGGCAACTCATGATACGTCAACGACAAAATGGATGTTCAGAATCGGTATCTGAACGTTGTCGACATCCACATGTGGAATGGATTATATTTAATAACGAGATATGCACATTTTTTCAACGAAAATATGCAAAAAATGCAAAATGCCATGCACAAACTCAACAATATGTTAATCATAAAAAAATGACGAAAAATTAAACTATCCCAAATTTTATGAACCCATAAACTATAACTCTCTTCCAAAAAATAAGCTGCCCCCCTCCAGTGTGATCCATGATTCCAGCTTACGTGTAAATTTTCCCCGTCGACGAAAAAAAGACCTGGTCGTAAAATAAATCGTGCGTTGAACTTTTTCAGACTCCCTGAGCTTTCTCCACACCGTGAGCGAGTAAGATGATACTCATTATTTTCTCGCTCATTGGCTTATACAGCGCCGGCGGAGGGTGTGAAACGACCGGGTCTGAGCAAGTTTTGCACCCACCACCCCTGGTGTATCCATTCGGTGGTACCATCAAGGTGAGAACAACAAATGACATTCATTTTAATTTCAGGTCCTCTTCATTTTCAAAAACTTGGGCACTCGAGCGACGAGGGGTGGTCTCTTCATTCGCTCGATTCACTGCTCCCCATCACACGAAAGCCCTTTGTCCAACTCCATTTGTGGTGACACTCAGACAACAAGACACTCGTAGGGAATGTGAAACGGCTTTTATTTACGAATCGCGGGGATTTTATTGCCCACGGGCGTAACATTTTATTCGTGATAGTCACCATTATCCCACGGTCTTAGGGAAACCAGTAACGATCCCTCACCCTCTTGCCACCTCACTCACACCTCATTGGGTTTAATCGATAATTAACTTCTGTCTAGTCCAGAGATGTAGCTACCCGTTGACTAATGGAATCGGAGTAACTTTTTCATTAGCTGGAGCTTTACAATTTTCCTCAAACACTCCGAGTTCCTTATAAATTCCTAAGTCAAACAAGTGCAACTTCTTAGACATGGAATGTTGATTATTGACTTGCACTACTTTTCTGTAGAATACAGGGAGAGAGATGGGAATATTGATGAAAGTTTTTGAGTTTGAAATTTCATTTTATCAAGGGAAGTCATGAATTAGCTCAGTGCAATCATGAAGTTATGCTGTGACTTTAGTTTTTTTTTCATTGCATGGGTTGACGTCTTCATGAGAAATTATTTTCATCAATGAGTCAAGTAGTCTGATAGGAATAATGTCCATAGAAATATATCAGGACATTGATCGAGTTTCGGAAATTTCTGAGACTACGAACCCTATAGAATTTTATGTTTATGATTCTATAGCATCCCCACTGGTAATTTTAAATTGCAATGGAACTCGCGGAGAATGAGCTATAGAAAAATGAAACGTTCTATAGGAATGACAATTGAGAATCCTATAGAATTTGAAATATACTACACTATAGAAAGCAGCATGCAGCATTCTATAGAAATTTAAACCAAAAATCACATGGAATCTTCAGTTTGATGAATTAAAATGACATTGGTCTATAATGAGCTATAGGAAAATCTATAGAACTTTCTATAGAAAACTAGAATGTCACAATATAAAATACTATAGGAATCAACAACGACAATGTCTATAGAATTGAGAACCTAAAATTCTATAGAATTGAAAATATACTATAGAAAGCAGCATAGAATGAGCTATAAGAAAATCTACAGAACTTTCTATAGAACGTTTTATAAAAATCTCTATAGAACATTCAATAGAAATAAAACCGGTTTACCATCTCTTATTTTTCATTCACGTCAACAAAGTCTTTTAATATTATAACAATAATGCGCTCATCTTTCCTTCCCTGTGGAAAAGTTGCTTGTAGGTATAGCTGTGCCCATATCCCTTGGCGGTAGAATTTTGGTATACGGCCAGAATCTGCAGTTTCAGTATGCGCTGCCCCAGAATGCAACATTCTTCACAGACTATTTTACATCATTAACGAAGCGACGCAGAAGATCAACAAGCAGTGAATATCAAAGAAAACTATTCTACGAATTTTTGGAGGAAGAGATGAGTAGGTGAGTTATTTCGCTACAAAGTATAATTTGAAATAACAAAGTACTGGAGATAGTGGAGAGATATATGAGAGAACATTCAGAAACGAGAAAATTGTAAGTCTTTTTGATGATGTCAATTGATGCAGAATCCAAGTCTAGGTGATACAGTTCATTAAACAGAGGAAATCTTAATTGGTCTTCCGTTGCCATCAACTCCGTACGCTCATTAACGGATTTTCCCTTGTCCTTTTTACTCCCGTTCTGTTGCATCCAGCAAAACGACGAAACGTTTTTCATGCCTCCGATTCCTTCAGTTTTTGCTGACAATTCTTTTTTTTTATTGGGACTATAAATTTATTTGAATAAGGATAATTCTTCCATCGGGATGAATAGAAAAAGCTGGAAATATTCCATCGTTCATGGGAGTAGAAACATTGAGAGGACAATTAATTATTGGAGTGAGAGGGGGCGTTGATCGTTAGGTGATAACAATTCATTGTGTAATTAATTGGGCTCCAGTTGCAACTCGCTTTTTCGCTTGTCTTTGCACTTGCGAGTTAGGGGAGTCTATAGACATATTTCATGGGATTATTGCTATAAGTTCGTCTGATACGGAATATTTCTATAGAAGATTTTCTATTGGTTACATCACCGAATGTTACTAATTTAGCATTTAAAAATTTATGGATTTATGAAGAGAACATTCTATAGAAATGACTTTAGTAAATTCTATAGAAACCCCAGTTTATTAAATTGTATAGAATTTTATACTCTTCATTTAGCTTTCTATAGAGAATTATTCGGCCTTTCCTATAGAACATTCAATAGACGGCTATATAATCTATAGCACAACAGAATGCTATAGAAGTTGACACAGGAAATTTCCATTGAAAATACAATCGCGAATTCTATAGAACCACCATTACTCTATAGAATTTTATATCGATAATTCTATAGCCTCTTCAATGCTATAGACTGATCAATCGTATTTTGAGAATACGAATTCCGTAAAATTTTATACCGATTTTTCTATAGAATTATAATTGTTATATCCTATAGAATTCACTAGAAACCTATAGCATTTGGTATTTCTAAAAATTTACTTTTATGAGATTTTCTAGACATCAATGAATTCCCATTCTATCCCAATTTCCCATGCATATTCTGTCCCTAACTTTTTTCGTATAATCAAATCGAGAAATATTTTTTTTTTTTTCTCAAGAAATCGTAGATGCAATCGCAGACCGCAATCACATGTATACAACTCATGAAATTACAATGTAAATTCAAACTAAAATGGTAATGAAATGGAATTATTCCAGGTGGTGTGGAGATGGCATATCATGCATGATGAAGAGCATATGTCAGGTATCACAAATTCCAGTGGGAGACGGTAGCCTCGTTGGTGAGATTCTCAACGTCATGCTGACGTGAGTAACCCATCCTCTTACTTTTTTTTCTATTCTTTTTCTTGTAAATTCAGAGTGAGCTACTGGCGGATATTCAGTGGCATAAACATGCATGAAGGAAGTAATATTTCGTGTACATGGTAATGTACAACAGGAAAATCGTTTATTCACAGGCCTGACTACGGAGAGCCTTCACTCTTCAATGGTGTGAGTTATCTCAGGGCAGCTGAGGCTGGAAGGAGAGGTGACGATTGCTCGATTATCTTCTCTGGATGTCCAGAAAATTGTGGCTTTCTTGATCGAATTACTAAACTCGACAATTTTCACTCTGATTAATTGTATTATTTTTCTGAGAGAATAAAATTGAAGGAAAAAATTCTAAATGCGATTCTAAGAGTTTTTAATTACTCAGCATCAATCCATGAAAAGTTATTTAATTAATTGAGCAATTGGATGATTACGCAATACAGTAGACTCCCGTTATAGTCGCATCTCCCCTCATATTTATTATTCGTCGCTCGACCGCTTCCCCCACTCTATTCCCCACGGGCCCCGGAGTGAGCACTCCAGCGTTATCTTCGAGGCATTGTCTCTCAATTGCTGGAAAGCCAAAAAATAAAATACTCCAAATATAAATTTTCGATCACGAAATTCAGTTCCTTCTAGACTGTCATGGAGAGAGCTTCTTTTGTTGGGATGAGGTGAATTAGATAATGAATCAGAATAAAGAAAATAACAACAAGATTGCCGATAAAAAGTTGAAATAAAAGGGAATTAAGGTGAATCTTACAAGTAAAACTAGAAAATCGAAATCACTTTGATAAGAAAAAATGTTTCTTAATAAAGAAAATCGGTTGATTATAAAAAAAAATTGATTAAATGTGTATTGAAATGTTAGTGTAATGATTAAAATTATTCAATGAAGCGTTAAAAATGTTTTAATCATATGAAATAAATGAGTTAAATTTCATTAAAATAAATTCCTTATGTGGGTGTATGAAAAATGGAGCTCCCAAGATCCCCGAATAATTCAACAGCCTAAGTAGACTCACTCATAACGCCACCATTGAACTCCGAAATTTTTCAATTTACCATGCATTAGCACTTCCTCCCCCGTCTACTCGTTACGTGTCGTACAATATTTGTCCACCGGTACCATAAATTCAAAGTTCACGAAAAGCCAGCAGCCGAAGCCAGGAGTAAAGGGTAATATATATAAGAGCCCAGGTTATATAGACTCCCTGGGCTACGAAAACGACACCTGCTCTGTTTACCAAAGCACTAACGACCTCGGTATACAGTACTGAGACCTGTCCACAATGCTAATGCCACTGGTACACCCAATTGCTAACCAAGGAGTGTTAGGTGGCTATCTGTTTGACATCGTGCTTCTTTTTCAGTTCTCTGGTGAGTGTTAAAAACGTTGGGGAGAAACTGTGAAATAGCGTCGACTAACGAGATCTGATAAAATCAATAGGGGTTGACAAAAATTGATGATAGAACAAGTATGCAGGAACATTAGAGGAATTGATAAAAGATTCGTTGGGGAATTCCATTGGAATTTCCTGAGCTTTTCCATTTTTTTTTGTTGGAAGTTTTTGCAAAGAAGTGTTAATTGGAAAAGAAACAAGACTTTTCATTTTTTCAAATATTTTCTGTTTTTTTCTAGTGTTTTTTTGAGTAAAAAAAATAGAAAAACAAAACGTCTTAAAAATTTGACATTTGTTTTTTAATGAATTGAAAATTAAAATCAAAGTTTCTAATGAGGGAAAAGAATAAATTGTCTTTTTAAGAAGATTTCTGTGAAGAATATTTTGATTCTCCTAAAATCAACAGAAAAAAAATTCTGAATTAAAAAACCTGATATAAAATTATGGTTTTTAAAAGAAATTGTACTGAAAATTGAATTTCTTTGCCAGTCAATTCCCATGGAAACATTCATAAAAAATATTTGCCACACCTTTCGTCACACCCGAAAGATTACTTTCTCCTCAAAATTTGATTAAACCCAACTATTTACATTTCACTACCGCAACCAAGATCAAGATAATAAACAATCACCCGAATTGAATCGAACAATTGCTGTATCTCACGGAATCAACGTTAACCGCCGCGTACTAATTGGCCCAAGGCCGTGTGCAGGGTTGAAAGGAGAATCTACAGCCAAAAGGACTTCATCCGAGGAAGAAAGGGAAGTGGCGGTGGAAGGAGGGGGTCCGGGGGTTCAACTTACGCGGGATAAATCGTAGACTGGTGAAACTAACGTTGGAAACTGGCTGGATGTGTTCGGTTGGTTGGCGCAACCCTCCCTCCGCGACACTCTTCCCACGGTGATGAAGTATGCGATACCACCTACACTGTTGCAGATACATTTATGTGTGATATAGAGGCCTGAGGATATAGAATTCAAACCGAAGTCGTTTCACCTTCACTTTAATACCATGCGGCTTCTGTTTTGGATTGTTCTGTTTGTCATGGCTGTTGGATGTGACTTTGTACGGTCACATCGGGCCAAGAGAGTCGTTGCTTTCAGGAAAGGTAGCACTTTTTTCGTAAGTATACGATTGATGAATTATGATTTTTGCTTCCGAATGGAATGCATCGTCTGTTGTTGAAAAAAATTATGATGTTCGCTGCCAATGTTGGGGCAATGTTGGCCGCCAACGTTGGGACAATGTTGACGGTTAATGTTAGGGCAATGTTGGCTGCCAATATTGCGGCAATACTGAATTCCATGAATCAGATAAGATCAGATCGTACGATAGCTCAAGTCACAATGTAAAACCTAGTGTCTTCAAGACGTTTTATTGAGACATTAGACATAAAAATGTGTCTGAAATTTCGAATATCTTAAACTAAAGTGTTTTGTCCATCCAAAAACAAAACGTTTGATAGATATTTGCATAAAGTCTTGAAATGCAAGCCACAAAATTTGACACACTCCATTCCCAATAATCCTCGTCATAAAATTTGATGTCAGGATAAATCGATTAGACCTCATAGTAATTCTTTCGAAAGTCCTCCAAAAGGGACGAAACCAGTAGAGTGTCGTTAATTGCATACCACCGAATTGCGATCGTTTAAATGCAGCAAACAAATTGCCACCGGAGAGTTCCCACATCGTTCTGTCCAGCGCTTCCACTCCAATTGCATATTTCCATGCAGCAATTCATTCATGTCTGTCACGCTCAATTTTTACGAGGAGTTTCGCTCGAGATTGGCTGTGAGCAGGTCAACACCTTGTTAAAGTACATGACACTCTCTATTACGGCGAGAAATTGATAAAACGTGAGTCATCTTTTTAATCATCTCGCATTTTCCGAAGTGGAGAGAATACAGATTAAGAGGGTTCACTATTTGCTAGTTTTCCGGCTGCGAGAAACTGAGAGGACTGTTGGTAACTTGCCTGTAGTCTCGACCTCCGAGGCAGACTTTCCGAGGCCCTCTGATAAATGGCTTGCCAGGTTCAGACGACATTCCCACGACCTTACCACCTTCTCCACATACTTTTTTTCTCCTCGATCGAGAACTTAATATCCGCTTTCAGCTTTAACCATACGGTAGTAGGTAGTTTTTACGGTCTACGACATTGCCCAAGTTTATTTGAGCGTCACTTACCGGAGTGAATGAGACGAGAAATATTGGTTATGGTAGTGGCGTTTGTGTGGGCAATACGAGAAACTTTTTCCGAATTGACAATATTTTTTTTTTATTAAGAGGAAGGCAATTTATGTTGAGAATTTCACTCCTGAATTGACCTGCGACTTGTCAATTATTTCACCTGATGGAGGGGTTTGATTAGAATGTGTATGTGATGAGTTTGAGCTGATTTGAGTGGGTTTGAGCGTCTTTGAGCGAGTTTGAGCTGCTTTGAACGGGCTTCAAGCTTTCAATTACAATGTTATCATTGCGATTCGGTTTACATTATGGACAGATTGTCTCGCAGATGAGTTTGAGCTAACTCAAGGTGCCTTGAGCTGGCTTGAGCTCAAGCTCAAAATTTTCGATTCTAATGTTAAAATTCAATTGGCTCTGAGCGGGTTTAAGTGAGTTTGAGCTACTTTGAGTTGGCTTCACGATCTCGATTTCAACATTATTATTAAGGTGTGGACTAAATGATGCATAGATTGATTCGCGCATGTGCTTCAGCTGTTTTGAGATAGCTCACAGTGTCTTGAGGTGGCTCAAACTCAAGCCTGTCGATTCAGAAATTAAAATTAAATTGAGTGTATTAGTCTCCTAAATTCTAATCGGTAGTATCATTTCCACTTGTAGTACCGATTGAACTACAAAATAAGCTCCATCCCCTGGACAACGATATTCGCCCAAGCATCGGGTTTCAAAGTGGCATGGCCCTTGCCGGACGGTACACGCTCACGCAGATCCCTCCCGGATTTGCATTCAGCCGCTGAACACATGTACGAGAGGTAATAAATAGTTGAGATATTCGAGTGAATAATGCAACTGATGTGCCTCCACATTTTTTCCATCCACCCTCCCTCACCCCGAAAGGATGGGATAGAACAAGTCCTCGTGCGTGAGTGGGTCAAAGCTCGGGGGGCAATAGGGTGTAAAAGCTGCAGATGAAAATGGTGCAACAATGAATATTCCATAACCCTGAATAATGAAAAAAACACTCTAAAAAAAAGCATAACCCGGGATGAAATGTGTAATTGCACTGTCTGATGCTGTGAAATAATCTTTTGCAGTCATGGATTCGACGGCCACGCCTGCCTCGTCCAGAACATCTGTGAAGCATTGAACTATGCCCGGCAGAGAGGCGGTGCCATTGGGAAGATATTAAAATTGCTCGCCAGGTACTGAATCACTTCAATTATCTGTGGAATTCGATGAAAATCGATTAATCGAGAAATCTCCTCTCTCTCTCCAACGTATTGCTTTGATGGATGCTGTGGACCAGTACTAAACTGCATCCCTCCCTCGTCACCCTTCTCACATTGGTATCCCCTTTGATTTCAGTGCATCGAATTCCAACTGGACTGATGCCGAGAACCCTCTAGTTGATTGTGAGCAACACAGGGCACCATGTCCACTGCAATTGATCAGTGTGGATGGCTTCTCGGAGATGTGAGGCCTTTGTCACGTGGTTAGACATTATACAAAGATATCATGTTGTTGATATTGTTTTATGATTAATGGATTGTCATTAATTGTTATTGGGTTACTCTATTACTTCGTCATGCGACAACTTGATTCGAAGACGAAATAAAAGAAATAATTCCTGAAGAAATAGCTCACATTCTAACATTATTTTTCGCAATTCATCGATTTCATTCCACGAAAGAGTAGCAACAGCTTAAGCTCATAAACCGGATGTTTGAGCGGGTTTGACTTGAACTCCCTCGAAGCTTTGGATTTCAGTATTGTTATTAGAGTGCGGTCTACATGATGGCTAGATTGCCTCGCGCATGGGTTTGAGCTGGTTTGAGCTAGGTTAAGGTGTCTTGAGCGGGCTTGAGCTCAAGCTTAAACCTTTCGATTAAAATGTTACAACTCAAATAAGTTTAATAGTAACAATATTAGTCATTTGGGAAGTTTTCGATGTCTGAACTGATGAAAAAGCTGAGTTTGAGCTGGTTTGAGCAGGTTTGAGCTGGTTCGAGTTATCTTCATGACTTCTCGGAGGTGTGAGGCAATTCGGAAATATTAGACCTATTCCTGGGTAAAGCGGAAGAAATAGTGCCTGAAGAAATAGCTTAAATTGCACCATTATTTTCCCCAATTCATCTATTTAATTCCATGAAGAAATAGCAACAGCGCCCGTTCACAAACTGAATATCGCGAAGGTGAGTGTTGGGGTAATAAATTACTGTGCGTTATAAAATAATTTAACGATGTCTCGGCTGTTGGTCGTACACGTGGCAAAGCGTTGAAAATTTTAACCAGAGTTTGTTCCTGTTGCTGAGCACGTCAACCTTCTACTTATCTACATACACTCACACTCCTCCACCCACACGAGCGTTATCCCACCACTTTTTTTCCACTCTATTCTGCCCCCCTCCTTCAACCCGTCAATTTATTTCCGCAAATAGTGGCTATGGAAAAATATTTGTCTCGGTACATCCATTGCCTCGGGTATTTTTATCTCGTTGTATCTCGACAGCGAGATAAATTTTCAATTCTACTCGCTATTTGACTCGCCAACAGTTACATTCTCCGCTCGTTCTCGTTTATCTATTGTTTCCGGGCAGATCAATTTATGTATATAATGCGGTGTTTTATCATACGATGTAAAACAATTTTATAGATGAGTATCGAAGAGAGAAATATCTTATCGATGATTCGAGGCGCTCTTATCTGGCTTCTTTCGCAGATGCAGTTTTGTATACTGAAGGTGCAATACAATGTGTTATTTTTACGTACATGATGGTATACTTAATCGTCATTTCAAAGAATGCAAATAAATAAAAATTATTATTAAAAAATCATGTTTTTGAGGGTCACGAGGGTCAGACTAGAAAACAAATTTAATGAAAACATTTTTTTTCGTTTTTCTGAATTCATAAAAACAAAATGTCTCGAGGGTCACACTTTTTTCTTACCTTCTTGTTTTTAATGGTCTTAAGTGTCAAGCGTGATGGAAAAACGCAACATGTGCCGTAAAAGCGTTAAATTTGTTTTTTACGTCGAGGAATTTCCATCAACCCTTCTTAATTACCCAGCTACTCGCCACTACCGAGACACAATGGAAATAAACCTTGTGCACTACCCGAATAAAGTGCCAATGAGCAAACATAGCGGATACCTTCGTGTCGTATCAACGAATTATCACGGCACATGTAGTCTTGTTGTACGTTTTATCTCTATCTCTCTCCCTTTTCTCTATTCATTGACCATAGTCCTCAGGGATAACAGGCACAAAAGCGCACGTTTCACTATTCGCCAGAGGTGCCATTTAAAAATAACTTTTTGGACTTTGGATCGGACGGACGAAGGAGAGGGTCAAGAGTTCATCGATATGACGAATGTAAGTGCTTCATATTTTTTTATTAACATCAATTATTTTTTAGGCATTCCAAATTTTAAGTCACCATCTGTGTGCATCGATGCTTGTTTTAATTTTCAATTTTTGTCTCTGGTTTTATTTTATTTCATTTCATTTTATTTTTACATCAGCAAAAAAAACGGAAATTCCTACTTTTTGCCAGTTGTCTGAGTCTCGGTGTGGCCCTCGTTTCCGGAAATAGCAGTGTGGAAACTTGTGTTGAGGAGAGAATCCTCTCCCGTCAGAAGAGATACTTGTTATTTCCAGAAGGTAGTAACGTGCAGGTAAATAAATTCCCCAAACTTCGCTTGGGTCATTCACAACTGGACGATAATAAATTACGAAATCAAAATTTTTAACTTTGATTTTTGTGAGTATTCACGCGTGGAGCAGATCCAATATTCCTGGAATTTTGTGAGAGACATTCCAGTGAAATGATTTGTACGGAGGAGGGGAAAATCTATTGACTTCGATCTATTCTTCGTCATATTCTTTCCTATGGAATAGCTTGCGCGATATCTTCTACTGAAAAAAATTGAAGAATTCTCTCAATAGAATTCTTTAATAGAAGATTCTGGAATATTGAAAAATAAATAGAAAAAAATGTTACTATTTTATGAACTCACGCACGAAAAAATTTCATGGAAAAACCTAATGAATTGAATGAAAAAATCTATTGGATTGGACGAATGTTTAAAAAAAATTTAATTCTGCGCAAAATATAAATTGAATGCCGCTGAATACTCATAATTTTTTTTTTCAAATTTTTCTCACACAATTTAATTCACACATAAGTAAAAGATACTTGAATATCCTTCACGTTTCTCCTCAATCATTCCAGTGTGTATTCTGCCTGACGATCGGATCCCTCCCGCGCCCCACAGACCTAGTCCTCGGATTGACAGCAGCTCTCGCCTGGGAGCTCCCACACAAAGTAGACAAAAAACTAACAAAATTGCTGCATCGTCAGAGTCGAAGTACCCTCTTCCCACGAATCGAGGCATTTCTCCAGTCGTAAGTCACCTCCAAAATATCCAGTTGCGCATTGACCCATGACACCAGCATCGACACAAAATATAATCACTGATAACAAAATGAAAAATAATCCAGTGCTTTCTCCCTTGAAAAAAAGGTAAACAAGGGAATTGGTGGTCATTGAATCGAGAATTCTGGTTAAACATTTCCCATCTGATGGCCGGGAAAAATACAAAGGACGTATTTTGTGTGTAAATATATTCACCGTAATACGTAGCTTTGGAATTTTCTGCTTGCCCTGGGTATTGACAGAAACGGCCTCTCGGGGATGGTGTGTATTTGCCAGCTGCAGTTGCAGACGTGGCAACTCAGCTAGACACTTGCTCCACTCACCTTCCACGGGCACTCCCTTTTTCCCTCTTTCTTCCAACCACCATCTTGAAACTGCTATTCCCCAGGAATCAATCGGATGTATTCGGGGAACATCCAGAGGATCGAGATATGCTTGTGGATATATGTCCGAGCAAGTTGACCCATCGGAAAATTACCGTTATTATGAGCATCGTGACCCTTAGCCTGCGTGTGAGTGATTTCTGTGATCTTGGATTTTTCCAGGGGGAAAGTCGACTCTCGCCAAAATCGAATTTTTCAGCCGGGTGAACGTTGATTCCCCCTATTTAAGCGACGGGCTATTCAGAACTCTCAAAAGTATGTGGAAAAAATGAAAACTGAAAATTTTTTTTTTTTTGGGGCCAAAGGTTCAGATCTTGGATTTTTCCAGGGGGAAAGTCGACTTTCGCCAAAATCGAATTTTTTAGCCGGGTGAACGTTGATTCCAACTATTTAAGCGACGGGCTATTCAGAACTCTCAAAAGTATGTGGAAAAAGTGAAAACTGAAATTTTTTTTTTTCACGGGGGCCAAAGCGTCAGATCTTGGATTTTTTCAGGGGGAAAGTCGACTTTCGCCAAAATCGAATTTTTTAGCCGGGTGAACGTTGATTCCAACTATTTAAGCGACGGGCTATTCAGAACTCTCAAAAGTATGTGGAAAAAGTGAAAACTGAAATTTTTTTTTTTCACGGGGGCCAAAGGGTCAGATCTTGGCTTTTTTCAGGGGGAAAGTCGACTTTCGCCAAAATCGAATTTTTCAGCCGGGTGAACGTTGATTCCCACTATTTGAGCGACGGGCTATTCAGAACTCTCAAAAGTATATGGAAAAAGTGAAAACTGAAATTTTTTTTTTTCACGGGGGCCAAAGGGTCAGATCTTGAATTTTTTCAGGGGGAAAGTCGACTTTCGCCAAAATCGAATTTTTCAGCCGGGTGAACGTTGATTCCCACTATTTAAGCGACGGGCTATTCAGAACTCTCAAAAGTACGTGGAAACAGTGAAAACTGAAAAAAAAAGTTTTTCACCGGGGCCAAAGTGAAATAAGGGCTCATAACCCTTATTTGACCTTCGTGGCTCTTATTTTGACACTTGTGGCCCATAATCCGACCATCGTAAACCTTTTGAGTACCGAATTTTTATCACCAGAAGTCCATTTGCATTTTTATAATATAGAGATTTACAAAATGTTGCGATGAAATTTTTTCACACGTGGAAAATTAATTTTCCATACCTACATTTCTCCACAATCCTCTCCCCCATGCTACACCACTTGATTGGAATGATCCGCGGCATATGAGTGAATGCGCTGACAACAAAACATCTCCTCTATTTTCATCTCCTACTTTCGCATGAGAAAAGAATTCTCAACTTGTTTGTCATGCACGAGAAAGGTTACCAAGAGACTCCGGCAAATATCCCGACTTCCTCTTTCCCCCTTTCCACCCGCGCTTAGTATGCTTCGGGAGTGGTTCGAGTGTGTGTTGAGGATTGTTATTGGCCTTTTGAGGAGAGAGCAGAGTGAAGAGCAACCTCATTTAAATTTCAGTTTGTCTACTGTCACCCGCTCCAAGCAATTGCCTCGAAATCCTCAGTTAGCTTTTTCCCTTTCCTCTCTGATTTTTCTATTTCCTTTGAGCCACTCGATACTCGTAGTTGGCATTGTCATTTCCAAGTTCATTCGATTCCACAGGTTCATGTAGAGTATTATCCCAACTTCATTCCTAGGCACTCCATCATCGATCTGTAGTCGGGTGGAGAGAATTAGATTTTAAACTGTGATGAGATCACAGGGATTTCTCGGGTTTAATTAAAACTTTGGGTTTAATGCGTTAGGACTGGTCTTGATGGGAGGTCCTGCGTACTCCGAGCGCTCTGTGAAGCCGGGCAAAGGAGCCGGGAGATGGTTGGGAAGGGAACGTTTGTTCAAGAACTACTTCATTCTATTTTCAGGTAAAAATGCATTTTTATTGAGAATAACAAGTGGCAGGAATTAATTCCGAGATGATGACAATTTTTACGAAATTGAGGGGATAATGAGTCAAGGTCCATTGGCCTTGCACTCGTTTTCTATTTATTATTAAAGTTGAATAGCAAAATGTTTGACGCATGCTCGATGCATAAATATTAATTGAACACTGGGTAGATGTAATTTTTGGGCAGAATTCTTCCCGTCACCTTATTTTTTTTACAGATTAAGACATGATGGTCATCGATTCGATAAGTTTGAGCATCGTGTCTATGATTCAGCTCATGAAAGTACTGGCGACTGTGCTAAAGACTATCCAACTTGTAAACACTCCATCTACGAGCTCGACTTGTAACGCTTGGGAGATTGGAACACCTCAAATGACAGTCGTTCACTCAACCATTGTCTCCTTGTCTGAAAATCCATGGAAAACTTTCCAGACGGAAACCATTTGTGAATACTGGCATTTTCTTAAGGTATTTATGGCGTGGTCAGAGGGGGACGAAAAATGTCAAAAAATTATTGTTATCCTCATTGAGAAAGAACTGTGTTCGCAAGTGGAAATTTATTTACAAAATATTTTGAACGCAAAAGTCTTCGAAATGGATTAATTTTTACAAATTGGAAACTCGTTTTTTTGTTCAGCGATTAGTTTTCTATGAGAGAACAGTAGATTCTCCTCCGTCTCACCTCGTTCATAAATACTTTAATATTAGTCTGCAAAATCTTCCGGAATAGTTGAGTACGCCTTTACTCTAGGGTTTGAGTGTCAATGTAACATGACACATTCTCGACAACAACCGATGGGAGATTTGCCGATGGGACTGGAGGAAAATTCTCGGCGGAGAACTCGAGAAACACCCACACGAGTCTGTCTGGCAAGTTGCCTATCGGAGAGGGAATTTGGGGATTCCCCAAGTGTTGTAAAAATGTCGGTGTCTTCGCATATCCGTTGCATTCGAGGGGCGTTTTCGGGGGGGATTTATGGGCATCCAGTGTTTGTCTCAACAGTTTGACAAATCTTTATCTGGTGCGGGCTGAGGAGAGAGGGGATATTTAATAGGGGTTTTCGGGACATATGAAGATTGTGACCTCGATACAAAAATATATAAGTTTAATATAGTGTGTGTAATATATCATGTCACGATAATTTTATCACGATAATTTTTATTAATGATATCAAAATATCACTAATGAAAATTATCGTTTTCTTACATTTAAAAATTTTTGTAAATTGCACTAAAAATACTCGGAAGAATTACAATTTATCGTAGAATAATCATCTTGAATTTTTTAATTATTGCGCAAATAATTCTTAAAAAAATCGGTTTTATAAACATTATTGTTATTAAATTTAAAAAAATTTAATGTATTTTTTTCACTTATGGATGAGGTGATGTACAAAAATTTTATAAATAAAATAGATAATATTCAGAAAAAACTAAAAATCTAATTTATCAAAAAGAAATGTCTCAAATGTTTAAATTATTTCTCAGATGATTCTACTAAAAACAGGTTTTATAAGATACTTTTCAAGACTATTCATAATTATTCTGGTTAAACAAATACACTGTCCATTAATTGAAATGAATGAATATACAAATTCGCAGAATCACTCACCAAAATTATTCAAATATATTTTTGCACACGCGGATGAGATAATGAATTGCAAGAAGTACGCTTCACCGCTGTCATCCCCAATATTTTCCCGCAAACATTATGAGGATATTTGCAGTAGTTAATGAATGCTAAATCATGCGTAAGCCATTTAACAGCCGTGCCGTTGCACTTGAAATATTTTCAACGACAGGAAAATGCTCATTCCACCATACATCACCACCAGCATCTGAAAATTGCTCGCAATATGAATACGGTATACGCCGTTATATTATTCTTATCATCGTTTAGTGCGATAATGTGTGTGAACGAATGTGTCAATAACACGGAGATCCAGAGAGTGGTGAGAGAAACTGCCGGCGTTAAGAGGTATTTGGTATTTCCACAGGGTAGTAACGTCCAAGTGAGTAAACAAGACCGCTAAAAATATTCAACCGATAAATTTTGTTGATCGAGTATAAATGTCATGTTGAGCTGTGGATGAAGATGTGGAGCACTGATTATTTTCTTTCCATTAAAGTCACAGCTGCCTTTGAATTCTCAATTTTGTTGTTGTGAAAAAATCCAGTCAATTTTATAAAATTTTTCAAGCCCATTCTTCGATAAATTCCGCAGGCCTGGGCATGGTTAAGAAAAAAGATTTTAATTGCATTAATTGAGAAATTGAATAAAATTTTTTATAGAACCTCATTTATTTTGCAAGATCAAGAAGATTGAGAATTCAGAAAGTTGTTTTTAAGAGTTTCATTTTATTTTTGGGTGAAATTTTAAGAGTAATTTTCCGAAAATGAAGTAAAATAATTCACTCTCGCTTTTTATTCTCGCAGTTGGTTTATTGTTTGACCGTGGGGACTTATGCGAAGCCGACGGGCTTCTTCACGATGGGAATCACTGCTGGTCTGGCTTATGAGCTGCCGTATACGAATACAGTGCCTCACAGAAGGCCAGCGGAGGTCTACCATCGGAGGAGCAGACGCGATTTGTACAAGAAAGTGGAGCTCATGTTGAACACGTGAGTTAATGAATAGAGCCCCCATCAAAAAATTTATTTAAAAAATATGTAATATGAGCCAATTCCATTTCTTTTTCAAATTTATAAAGAATATAAAAAAATATATATAAAACATATATTTTAATGAAAAAAAAAATAAAATTAAATTAAAATATGAATATATATTATTTATATTATTATAAATTATTATAAAATTTATATTTTGCAAAATATATTAAAAAATATCTTGAATTGGTCCAATTTATATAGAAAAAATATATCTATATATTTATATATTTATATATTTTTCAAAATATAATTTTTTTCAATTAATTTGTTCAAACAAATTGATAAAATTGAATAATTAATAAGTACGTGAAATTGCCGATTTATGTGAGTGAAAATTAACTCATCCAAAAGTTTCTCGCAATCTCAAAAATGAATTTCAATCCACGAAAACAAATCACCATCCCCAACAACAAATGAAACTCATCAACGAATCATTTATCGATCGACTGTAAACTGCCGTCACAATGAATCCATTTAAATCCACCTCGATAACGAATTTATATCACTTAAATAATTCATTGAATCCACGTGAGTGAATATAATTCATTATAAACTGATCCAATAACAACGAGTCAATTTTTGCTGCCATAACTCAATACAAAATCATTTTATAACCCTTCCCTTATTTTTCAACAATTACGGGCATTCATCGGATGCTCTGAGGATTGAATTTGAACGATAAAAATTTTAAAATTCCGCAACGATTTTTCTCTGATCATTTTTATCATTGATCAAGTTTTATGAAATGTAATGCATTTCACTTTACCACACGGAGAGAAATATTCCGTAAAAATTACGGAACAATTCACGTAATCCCCAGGGGGAAATCGTTTTCCGGCAATTTTTATAGGAATGGAAGAGAGGAAATCTGAAACGTTCAGTCAATTTTCAGGTTCATCACCGAACGAAGTACGAAACCGTCACGTAATTTTTCCCGAAGAAGAAAAAATCAAAAATCAAAAATTCTTGAACCTTCAACAATTTTTCTAAAGCTGGTGAGTTATTTCTACGTTCCGTTTTATGGAATTTTTCTCCCCGTGAATTTTCAAATTGAATAATAATAAGTTTTCATGATTTGAATGAAGAAAAAGATCGCCGTTTTTAGTATAAAAAAAATTCAAGGCATCACCTGGAATCAGATTCTCCTCGCAAAGATACATGCTGCCTCTATCGTGTACCATCAATAACCCCACGGGATAACCCCGGGTATATCGGTAAATGATCAGGTTAGACGATACGAATGGATCGTTTTAGTTAAGAAGATATCGATATTGTACCCCTACCAGCCTTGAGAGACATCGAGCGCCGACCTCTCTCTTCAACAACCAGTAATAACAGTTTCCCTCGATAGACCTATACGAGATTACCGGCGATACTATTTGTCCTGTGATGCACCGCGGAACAAGTATCAAGTGCTAGCCGATACTCACTTTTCTGTAATTTCGAATCGAGGGGATTATTTTACGGCGGGATATTGATGGCGGAGATTACGGGATAAATCGCGTTTTGATTTGTGAATGGTATCAGGTGGTCGGTGGGATTATTGAGGAATCAGTTTCTGATTAGATGGATTTGGATGTTTGGGATTTCACCGGAGGTTTATTCATTGGTGTCGGGGTTTTTTTAATTGCAAGGGTTTATGGTTGAATTTCAGACACTTTGGGAATCGAATCGAGCCCTAAAGGGCTCAGTTTCAGATAATTCATGAGGTTTTTTCCCAATTTTGTTCTTTTTTTCAATTTTTTTAAGAAAAAGGCTGGATTTAATTGGGAAATTTCTAGTGAATTCAATGCATTCCTCGAGGAAAGAGGGAATTAGGAGCTCAGGAGCTCTCGAGAGACAGATAATTCATCAGGTTTTTTTTTTTTTTTTTTTTTTTTTTTTTTTTTTTTTTTTTTTTTTTTTTTTTTTTTTTTTTTTTTTTTTTTTTTTTTTTTTTTTTTTTTTTTTTTTTTTTTTTTTTTTTTTTTTTTTTTTTTTTTTTTTTTTTTTTTTTTTTTTTTTTTTTTTTTTTTTTTTTTTTTTTTTTTTTTTTTTTTTTTTTTTTTTTTTTTTTTTTTTTTTTTTTTTTTTTTTTTTTTTTTTTTTTTTTTTTTTTTTTTTTTTTTTTTTTTTTTTTTTTTTTTTTTTTTTTTTTTTTTTTTTTTTTTTTTTTTTTTTTTTTTTTTTTTTTTTTTTTTTTTTTTTTTTTTTTTTTTTTTTTTTTTTTTTTTTTTTTTTTTTTTTTTTTTTTTTTTTTTTTTTTTTTTTTTTTTTTTTTTTTTTTTTTTTTTTTTTTTTTTTTTTTTTTTTTTTTTTTTTTTTTTTTTTTTTTTTTTTTTTTTTTTTTTTTTTTTTTTTTTTTTTTTTTTTTTTTTTTTTTTTTTTTTTTTTTTTTTTTTTTTTTTTTTTTTTTTTTTTTTTTTTTTTTTTTTTTTTTTTTTTTTTTTTTTTTTTTTTTTTTTTTTTTTTTTTTTTTTTTTTTTTTTTTTTTTTTTTTTTTTTTTTTTTTTTTTTTTTTTTTTTTTTTTTTTTTTTTTTTTTTTTTTTTTTTTTTTTTTTTTTTTTTTTTTTTTTTTTTTTTTTTTTTTTTTTTTTTTTTTTTTTTTTTTTTTTTTTTTTTTTTTTTTTTTTTTTTTTTTTTTTTTTTTTTTTTTTTTTTTTTTTTTTTTTTTTTTTTTTTTTTTTTTTTTTTTTTTTTGAGGAAAAGGCCGGATTTAATTGGGAAATTTCCAGTGAATTCAATGCATTTCAATGCATTCCTCGAGAAAAGAGAGAATTAGGAGCTCAGAAGCTCTCGAGAGACGATTTAATATAAAAAACTTTTCAAGTATAAATAATTAAATTATGAATGACCAAGTCATCACAATTTTTTTTGCACTTCAATGAATTTTTCCATCAGACATAAAAAATCGTACGAAATTTCCTAACAGAAGTCACAATTAAATTCTCCTGAACCATCAATTTCCGAATCACAGTCAAAACGACAAAGAATCCTTCGCCCAGTATCCGTGACAAAGCCATTAACTTTACTTATAATCGGATCGTAATGTATAAAACTACCGACGTGACTCTCCACCCAGCGAGAGTTGCAAACTCGTTAAGTGGCATGGCGTAAAGTACCCTATACTCGGCGTACAGCACACACGGTGTCGAAGCCAAGAACGTTGAGCCATAACGACTGCTAAGATGAAAGGGGAAATGTGAATTGAGCATTAGTGCAGGGAGACGATGTGGAATGGAAAATACGTTATATTTCACCGTCAGTTGAGCATTTCAGAATGCTGGCAACGGAAATTGTGAGCCGAGAAAATTTTCTCGAGCTTTGAGCCAAAATATTTCTCATTGTTCACGAGCGATCCTCTGATTTTTCGGGAATTAATTTTAACAATTTCATAGGGGGCATAATGGGTCATCAAAACATATTCTCCCGAATTCGCTACATTTTCCTATAATTTTTTTTTCGTGCATGTGATGTGAAGAAAATTTTCGGGAATGTTACAAAAATTTTCGTCAGAATTTCTCCGCATCATATTTAAATCTGAATAACGACGAAATAACCCCTTAAACTCACCTGTGACCGTTAAGTCTCTACTAATTATCTGACTTACGTAGTTTCTAATCGTCCCGTAACTTTATCCCTTCAACCCATCCACCAAGAAATCCTCCCAGTGTCCTCCTCAGCGCCTCCAAACTTGCTCCTTACGTAACTCGTTAAGCTTCTGCGAACACTGGAGAAGCAATTTTCCTCAGGGTGTCAAATTATGTTATACACGATTAGGCGATAGAATCAAACTAAGTGATTAAATATTATCGGGCATCAAGCGATAACCATCTTTTGTCTTTCATGCATCCCGGAAGACGTGGCAAGGACGGGAGGGCTTGTGTATTGAAGGCACTCTGTCTGTCCGGACAGCGCAACGACACTCAAGTTGGCAAAGGTAGTTTCATGGAAGAGATGATGCATTCTGTGTTCACGTGAGTTTTGCCCGAGTTTGAACGCTTTACGGGCCATTCTTGAGTGATGATTATTGGAGGGTACAGTCGACTCCTGTTATGGTCGCACTTGTTACAGTCGCCTTTCACTGTTGGAAATTTTTTGAAATTTCATAACTTGATTGAATTTCCAATGAAACATGGCTATTCAGAGACAAAACAACATGAATTTTCAATTTTTCCCTGAATTTTCACAAAATAATTGAACTGAAAAATCAAGTATTTCATTGATTTCCAGATCGTTTAAACAGAAAATCAGTGGAATATTTGATTTTTCAGTGACAAGATTTTCTGAACGTTCAGTGGATTTTGAACACGATAAAAATTTCAGAAATTTGGCACGGAGAATTCAGACGAAAATTTTTAAGTGTTCCCCTCATATTTATTTTAGGAGTGGGACACTGGCATTCTATTGGATTTGCTTGGTTTGTTATCGAAAGTTCTGTTTTCAGACTACCAGGAGGGGCTTATGAGGCTGATCCAATGACGCATTATGAGAGGGCTCACGAAGATATGGAGGATTGCCAGTTGAAATACTCAAGTTGCCCAGAATTTTTCTGATTATTTAGCAACTACTCGTAGAAGATAATTTCATAAAAAAACCTTGCAAATTCGCTACAATATTCAATAGGATTTCTAAAATAAAAATTTGATTGGATTGAATTTCTGAAGTAAAAATGAAAAATGATTGTTTAATGGAAAATTTTCTCCAGAAAAACTTACTAGAATTGGATTTTTCTGTATAATTTATTCCATTGAAATATATTTTATAAATATTCCTCCACTCAATTTTTTAAAATTCTTTTGTTTGATCATTTTTTGATGAAAAGAGAAGACAAATAGAGTTGACAACAAATAAATTTTCAATTTTCATCGAATTCATTAGGTTTTAAATGATTGATATGTACGAAAAATATTATTAAACACATTTTTATTAACACAAGTCATAATGAAAATTTAATATTAACTCATCATTAATTTTTTAATAATGAATTTTCATCAATTTCTCATCTAATTTGACTTTTATACATTGATTTCCTCTTATAAATGAAGAATATTTCATCGTAAAAATTATTTTATCGTACACTCCCTGCTATTGACCTCATTGCATCCGCAATCATCCAAAATAATTATCGTCGTAATTACTTTTTTCAAAATAGAAATATAAAAAAAAATATATAATTAATGAATTGATGATAATTATACATGTTATCCACTCGGAAATAGTTTCTGAAAACACTGCAATACATTTCACTCTCAAAGATGAAATCAAAATTTTGATGTAGTATATCTCCATGAAACTGAGGGTAGTATCAAGCCATGATACACAGTGTAAGCATCAAGAACGTCATCTAGCATTAAGTCAATGTTATTCTCCGTGGAGGATGCACAGTATGCGCGCCGTTGTAATTTCCTGAAGGCCGAACTAGCTCGTAGTCATCACCAGATATGTGAGCACCCACATACGAGGTAAAACTTGCTCTCTTCCTCCATTTGCGGTGTACGGAATTTTACTATGTAAAATGGGCTCTGAGCCCGGCAAAGCGGCTTTACATCACATATTTTCATCGTCAACTCCTTTGAAGAGACGGGAAAATGAAGGATTTTTTGGGGAGTGGAATAAAGTGAGATGGATAAAGAAAAACTTGGGCGAAGAGTGACTTCGGTGTTTACGTGATGAATTATTCTGTGATTTGGGGATATCATTTTTTTGTGCTTCAGGATATTTTGTGTTTTATTTTTTACAAATGTATTTCGATATGTCAGGAATGATAAAATTTCATAGAAAATTCCACTCCTTTCTCTAGAAAATTCTGTGGAGTTTCTATTGGAATTCTAGAGGAACTCTTGAACGAGAATTCCTACAGAAAAATAAAAATCCATGCATTTTTCAATGAAATTGTCGCAAAAATCAAACAAAATTTTTCAATATAATTCTCATACCATTCCAGTAGAATTCTGATAGACTTCTACTGAATTTTTTCACCCGTAATTTATCACGCGAGTCATGCACCGGAAACCGAACATGTTTGACCAAAAAAAAATTCAGCAAACACGAGTATTTTTAATCTCAATTCCGACGAGTCTTGATTTTCAATACCGAAACGGTAACCCGAAGTAAATATGGATACAGTTCAATAAATAGCAGTTGTAAACTGACCAAAATCGTGAAGATTATCACGTGGTGGCCATTCGATAACTGTCACATCAAACACCTGAGCATTTCTGCAGACTTCGCGAATGATGCAACACAAGTTTTTACGCAACCACCTGAACTCAAGTTATTGGTGTTGACCATTGCTCTTCTCTTTCGCGAGAACATTTGAGGATGAGAGTTACATGTCCTGTGGTTATTTCTGGGCTTTTTGGAGTCATCAACCTCGCACTCGCAGATCTCCGATGTGACAGCAATCAGACGAATGTCGGGGATTTGATGGAGTCTGAGAGGGTATTGAGTCGATCCAGGAGGTATCTCGCTTTTCCCAAGAGCAGTTCATTTGTTGTGAGTAGCAATGAACAAAAGTTATCACTGATTCAGTCATTATATTTCATGAAAAACTGCGTTTTTTTAGTTTATCAGTTGAAGAGAATGAATATTATTTCATTGTATTTGAACTTATGAATTTCATAAATAGGAATGGGAGATACCTCGAACAAATACGAATCATAAAATTTAACGGTCGTGTTGTTTTTTGCAATGAGAATGATTACAAACAATTAATCAAAAAAGGAATGTCGAATCTGAGTCATGAATCAGATGAATTAATTTATTTTAAATATTAGTTTATAATTCGTCACATAAAATGGTTTTGAAATCGTAATTAGTCATGAGTATTTCAATTATCAAGGCTAATTATTTCAGGTCACCCTGACAGGATTGAAATCAATTCAAGTGAAGGAGCCAACAAATTGGAATCTTGATCTGGAGTTCGACATGATCTGGCCGATTCCAAGCGAGACCGTAAAAAAACTCCCGAAAAAACCGATGAAGAAATTCTACAGTCGACTGCGTCGACACAAAAGGGACCTCTACTCCAATATTGAAATATCACTCAATAGGTAGTTTACTGAGATCCAGTAAATTCGACCGAAAACCATGGGCAATCGTGTAATTTTACGTATTGATAATTGACGAATTTAATTGCATTATCATTCTATCGAACTGGTCATGGAATAGAGATAATTCATGTATATTCCATCATAACCGGGGGGGAATCAATGAATCCACTGGGGTTCATTTTAATTGGATTGGGATAATTGTCGGATGCTGTATTTCCCTAGTTTTGCATTGCGCTATGGAACGATGTTTATTTAGGATAATTAAGGCCCGGCCTGCACGGTTACTAACTTTTTTTGTAACTTTTATCCCCCCGCGTTTTACGCCCGACTCCGAAGCTTCTTTCATGCTCTCTCACGCTGTCTTATGCTCTTATACTTTCTTACGCTCTCGTCCGCTCTCGTACGCTCTTTCATGTTCCCTTCCGCTCTGTTACGCTCTCTCTACGCTCCCTGACGCTCTCTCACGCTCTTCGACGCTCTCTCGCGCTGTCTTATGCTCGTATACTATCTTACGCTCTCTTCCGCTCTGTTACGCTCTTTCTACGCTCCCTGACGCTCTCTCACGCTCTTTCACGCTCTTTCTACGCTCTCTGACGCTCTCGCACGCGCTTTGACGCTCTCCCACGCTGTCTCATACTTTCTTGCACTCTTGCGCGCTTTCTCGTGATCATTCACGCTCTTTTGCGCTTTCTCGCATCAGTCGCGCTCTCTCGCGCTCTTTCATGTCATAGGGTCACGAGGGTCGGAAGGGTTACGAAGGGTCTCAAGGGATACAAAGCTCAAAAGGGTCGTAAGGTCACAAGGGTCACAATTTTTTCAACTTTTTCGACTTTTGTAACTTATTCAACTCTTACGTAGAAATCCTCAGCTCCAATTTTCAAAGCATATTCACAATAATAATAATTCAAGATAATATAACGATGATATGTACATTTTTACTCGTCAGACTGGGCTTACCGGGAAGGGACTGCATGTTGAGGACAATCTGTGAAGCCAGAGGATTCCTCTATCCACCTGGTGTCTCGTTCATCGATGATTTACTGCGAGTAATTTTGAGGTAAAATATATCATTTTCCTTCGATATTGAGAATTTATGGAGAAGTCTTCGGGGGATATCAAGATGGAAAATTCTGGTGAATCATTTGTTACAGTCACGGTGAACATTCTGCTGGTGAATTGGATCTGTATGATGTTGCTTATAAATCAGCCGAGGAGTGTGATATTCAGTACAAGTGTCCCATATCATTTTTACAGTTTTTATTAAATAATGATATTGTAGTTCGGTGATAATAAAATTCATCAATAATTCTTCTATCAATTTTTTTATCTCTATTTCACATTTTCAGCTATGATTGAATTCATTTGAAGCATGATATTCAAACATATCCCCGGAATTCTGATTTTCAAAAAATACAAAATTTTTGCAANACGCTGTCTTATGCTCTTATACTTTCTTACGCTCTCGTCCGCTCTCGTACGCTCTTTCATGTTCCCTTCCGCTCTGTTACGCTCTCTCTACGCTCCCTGACGCTCTCTCACGCTCTTCGACGCTCTCTCGCGCTGTCTTATGCTCGTATACTATCTTACGCTCTCTTCCGCTCTGTTACGCTCTTTCTACGCTCCCTGACGCTCTCTCACGCTCTTTCACGCTCTTTCTACGCTCTCTGACGCTCTCGCACGCGCTTTGACGCTCTCCCACGCTGTCTCATACTTTCTTGCACTCTTGCGCGCTTTCTCGTGATCATTCACGCTCTTTTGCGCTTTCTCGCATCAGTCGCGCTCTCTCGCGCTCTTTCATGTCATAGGGTCACGAGGGTCGGAAGGGTTACGAAGGGTCTCAAGGGATACAAAGCTCAAAAGGGTCGTAAGGTCACAAGGGTCACAATTTTTTCAACTTTTTCGACTTTTGTAACTTATTCAACTCTTACGTAGAAATCCTCAGCTCCAATTTTCAAAGCATATTCACAATAATAATAATTCAAGATAATATAACGATGATATGTACATTTTTACTCGTCAGACTGGGCTTACCGGGAAGGGACTGCATGTTGAGGACAATCTGTGAAGCCAGAGGATTCCTCTATCCACCTGGTGTCTCGTTCATCGATGATTTACTGCGAGTAATTTTGAGGTAAAATATATCATTTTCCTTCGATATTGAGAATTTATGGAGAAGTCTTCGGGGGATATCAAGATGGAAAATTCTGGTGAATCATTTGTTACAGTCACGGTGAACATTCTGCTGGTGAATTGGATCTGTATGATGTTGCTTATAAATCAGCCGAGGAGTGTGATATTCAGTACAAGTGTCCCATATCATTTTTACAGTTTTTATTAAATAATGATATTGTAGTTCGGTGATAATAAAATTCATCAATAATTCTTCTATCAATTTTTTTATCTCTATTTCACATTTTCAGCTATGATTGAATTCATTTGAAGCATGATATTCAAACATATCCCCGGAATTCTGATTTTCAAAAAATACAAAATTTTTGCAAATTTTCAAATAAATCAAAATAGCGATTAGTACTATCGCCTTCATCTTCGAGCTCGGTCGAAAGGACAGCCAAACAAATTTTTCAAACCATCATTCAATCAATTCAGAACATTTTTTTTTAATTAGCAAATTTAAAAAACTAATCGATGAATTAAATTTTAATTTATGGTGATCGAAAAAAATTCAATTCCACCCATTCAATTTAATCGGTTTTATGGATTTCTGAGGTAGGTAATTTTGAGAATACGCGCGCAAGCTCGTCTAGTCGTTAAAAACTACGAATTAAAAATTTCATGAGGAAAAATAGATTGTTCTGTAATGGAATGTTGACAACCAACTTTGCATAACAATTTTCATAGTCACGAGCAAGATGAATAGTTGAGCAATGCGGAAGGATACCGAGAAGGGGAGTCTCAGCCCGGTGGGTCGAATGTTAGTAAAGAAGTGAAATTGGGTCAGGATTTGAAGTCACTAGGGGAATTTGTGGTTAACCAACGCTCGTGACAATAGATAAGGGGTGCAGAGAGGAGGGCCCTGATGGTAGTTTAACCGCTGCGCCGTAGTCTCCCTTGTCGCTCACTTGGTGGGTCCCCCGGGGAGGAATGCAAAGATATTCAGCGATCGTGTAATCTTCAGTTGTCATAAGCTCGATAGGAGGGTAGAGTCGGAATTTATTTCTGGGACGTGATGCTCGGATTTTTCAAGGTCAGAAAAAAAATTAACAGAATCATGATTGCGTTATGCTTTGGAATTTTGAAATGGAAAAAAGTTTTAACAATCATTATGAATGAAAAAATTTAATGGGGAAACCAAACGTTTTTTATTGAATTCTATTGAATTTCTATCAGAATTCTGTTAGAAAATTCTCTTCGTATTTGACCCTGTCGTTTTATTTAGAGTTATTCGACAGAAAAAAATTAAACAATTTTTATTTTTCTGCAGAAATTTTCGGGCATAAATTAATCAAGATTTTTCCGTTGTATTTTCGTTGATTTCTCATGTCAAGAAAAAAAAAATTAATAAAGGAAAAATGATAAATTTATTGAAAAATAAGTTGAATTAAATTTCTCAAAAAAATTAGAAATATATACGTAAAGTTACTTGTGACTCTACACTTTAGTGATAAATTTGTTCGGTATAAAATTTCTAAAAAGATGATGATTCGAAAGTTGAAAAATTCTTGTACAAAAGCATTAATATTTTACCATAAGACTTCATTTCAGGTAATATCATAAATATTAAATCATCACAAGACCGGGAATCTTGCACTCCGGTAATTAATTTCACGTGGGGGATTACCCCTCGACCATATGAATTCCACCTTGAATCCCACATTATCACCGGGCCCATGAATCAGATAATTCCCTCGAGATTACCCCCGTGGATTTCAATAGTCACGAACAGTGCGTTCCTACTATTTTTCCACCTCCCTCACCCATCGATAATGTGAGAGGCACATCCGATAGCATCACCCCACCCGGCTTGCAATTAACACCGTGCACGTACGTGTCGACGAACTCGCGATTCTCTAATTGTTCGGCAAACAACAGAGGGCACGTTGGAGAGGAATGGCTTTGAGCGGTAAAAGAGGCAGTGGTATTTTAGTTATGTGCGGAAAGATGTTAATGTGCTCGACAATGACGAAGGTTAGGTGGGCTCGATTGTGGGGCATGAGTCGTCGAGGAATACCCGTCATTCATCATGCTGTTTGACGTGGTTCATCATCAAGAGGCAGAGGTGAGCTCAAATTTTTTATAACAAAAGTTATTTGCCGAAAAATATTTGTTCATTTTATCAGACAATTCTAAATTGGCGATGTGGAATTGCGAGACGAAGGGGTGGTAAGGGTCAGAAACTCATGTGTGCAAGGGCCACAAGGGTCAGAAGGTCATAAGGGTTAGATTATACAGATGATTATAGAGATGACAATCATAATGGTTGATTAGATCATAAATTACGGGACTTTTTGCGATGACCTTGCTCAACTCATGAGGGCTGCAAGGGTCTGGTTGATAAGAATCAGACACGTAAGGGTCAGGCTTATCAGGGTCAGATTCATAAGGGTCAAAATATTATATACTCCATATAATCATAAGGTTCAGAATTTCATATTCTTAACATAGTGGATGGTTCAGGAAGCTCATAAGGGTCATGAAGGTTTTAAGGGCCGGACTTATAAAGGTCAGAAGAGTCTTAGGGGGGTCACATCGAGGTCATTCGCAGATGAAGTTTACGACTCAAATTACATGAGGGTCAGAACCTTATATTTCTGGGATTCTGAAGGGTCCGAAAGTCTAGAAGTGTCGCAAGGGCCCTAAGGGTCGAACTTATAAACTCAGGAGGCTGTCTCATCTATGTAACTCCCTCTATTACCCTCCATACAGACCGTCGCATAAAAATCTGACCCTTTAGACCCTTGCCATCACTTTATGTATCATACAATGGACATAAAATATTTCTGAAATATATCTCCTTAATCTAGTAAATTTAATTCACATACGGAAATCGTAACTGCAACCACTCCCCAACACGTCAAGTGTTCTCAAAGGGTCATGCAGATGTAGTGAAGGTAATCAAAATTTTTATGACGTCTCGGTTGAATATAAGAGGGTCACGAGGATCCCTTCATAGACTATTCCCATAAACTTTTTGATTGCCTTTACTCCATCTGCATGAAAATTGCATTTCCCAACTCTTTATACTGTCCACTTTGTTTTTTAAATGAACACCCATCCTCGGCATATGTTTCATATTCATTTGTATTACGAATTGTACTGGAAAGTAGAGCAAGTTTAATTTATTACTCAATTTTGGCATGTACCAGAATTTCTAGACTGTCTGTGACTTGGAATTTTCAGCATAGGCTCTTGTTGCATATTCATTGTTCCCGAAATCATATACAGTACAAACACGTTAAAATTCACTTTGAAAAAGTATCATTTGCTTTAATGAAGTGAATTAATTTGGCATTGAGGAGAAAAGGAAGGAAAAGTTATTCTTTTGAGGGGTACATATTGAATGTAAATCGATAGTCCGCCAACACCGGCGACTAATTTATGAATATCGATTGGAAATGTGATTTTGAATACTTCATCGCGATGGAATATCATTCGCTATTGTTATTTCAATTCTATTAATACTCAAATACTATTTTATTAACAGAAACTGCTTTTACATTAATACAGTATATAATTCGTCGAAGTAAATTGTTTCATGAAAAATTATTTCCCCTATCAATGAATTAAATAATCAATCATGAAGTCACGAAGCGTGACATTGAAATAATAGTGCAATCAATGTCTCGGGCATGAGAGCCCATCAATCAAATAATTGACGAATCATAACGAATGTATCGGAATAAAACAAACTTTCATAAACCGGATATCTCGACTCTCTGTTTAAAGAAATGCTCTCCAAGTATCGTGCAGTCACCCTCTATCGATCATTTTTCCAGCAGTTTCACTCCAGAACTAACAATTTCCTGTTTCCTAAAGAGCTTACCGAAGTGAGTTACGAGATATTTCCACCAAGTGAAGGGATCGATCTTCCGTCTGGCGCAGGAAGTTCCATCTGAGGGTTGACGATGGCGTGTAACCGTTGAAAAATACTTTTTCCCGGGAAGATTCGCTTTTTTCGCTCATTGCTGCACGGTAGATGCCATCTCATACGGCTGCACGTACCTCCGATAAATAGGGGGCTAATTTTTGAGGCAGTCGGGGGTTTCGTGGCCGGTAATAACGATTGAATGATGGGGTCATTACGAGAGTATTGGGGATGAATTGGGGGATCATTGGGGGAGGAGTGAAAAATCTGAACTGCTGGGGTTTCTTGAGACTAACGATTTAATTCTTAAATTCAGTTCATTCATCATCTAATAGTCAGGGTAATATCTCAACCCCTTATGCCCCCTATGAAGTTGTTAAATTGATAATTGAATCATCTGAACCATAAACATCTGGGATTCCAAGAAAAATTGATCCAGGGATCTCTGAGACTTACCGTTGGTAGAAATGACGCGCTCGAAAATTCAAAAACAAAATTCACGGTCTCACTAGGAGCAACTACGAAAGATTACACTGATTACAAATGATTACCACTTGATCACCAAAACTTGATTACAAATATGGTAATCATGTGATTACAATTGATTACATCAGCGAGTGACAACACGATTACGCCTGTGAATAGCCCCGCGATAAATGCCCTAAAAAATCGGTGAATAAATTTTTTTTTCAAGACTATTCCGCCTCGATTAAAAAATTCCAAAAATGTCGTTTAAAAAAACGGAAAATGGAGAATTCCGCGCGTTTTTTCTCCGTTCGAGTCCTTTAATAACCGAAAAAGCCAGTGAATTGAATGAAAATTGTGGCTCTCGACTCTCCATCGATCCACGAAAGAGCTCCTGTGTCAGGATAAAGAATTCCACCGCCCCTCCTGTCTCACTCGACTAGCTTTTAGAGGGCACCTACTCTCCAGAATACCCTTAATCCCGGCCTCAGCCCGGTAGGAACTAAGACGCTGGATTCCACTCTTTGCTTCAAATTCACCTCGTATCCCTGGCCCGCCGGGGCCCCTCTCAAGCCACCGGGAATTTCACGCGACGTGAAGCTTTCGAAAAAAATAAAAAAGCAGGGAAAAAAATTCGACATTTGACTTTGATTCCCCGAGACGTTAAAGCGACGATGGGTTTTCTCCCCGACGGTTTCGCCCAGCGTCGAGAGGAATTCGACAATATTCGAGCCGAGGGACGGAATGAAAGGAGATGAAACTGACTGTAAGACATGAGTATGCAAGGAGGGGCCTGGGAGATGGTGCACAGTAGACACAACCCAAGATCGATTGTTAGACGTGTCACACGTGTGTTAGGTAACCAGTGGCTGCTCTCGGTATCCAGAAATACATGAGAACATGAAAAAGATCTACGACTGAAATCGTTCCCGGAATTTCGTGATAGGGTGGATGAGGACGCCGAGAGGAATGAGGGACACGAACTCATCCTGAAGTTGTTTCAGTGGGTGACTAATGCTCGACAATTGTGGCCACGAAAACAGGATCCAATTTTAACTCACCTACGTTGTTCGTTGTTTGGAGGTAGCTTTGTATTCACCCCGGTGGCTTTGAAATTTTATAATTAATTGGAGCGCTCAGGGGGCGCGGGGGAAGGGGAAGCTGAAGGGAGAGGTTGATTAGTAATTCTCAGATGAAAATTGAAAACATTTTAAATGTTGGAAGTTGCCAAAAGTCAGTAAAAGAAGTTTATTTTATAAGACATTTATTTTATGAAAATTGAATGGAAATGTAATCTTGAATAGTTCATCACGATGAAATATCGTTTGAAATTGTTATTTTAAGGTGATTACTATTCAAACAGTATTTTATTCGTTACATTTTGTACAATTAAAATAGAAATTCAGTCGAAAAAATTTCTTTGGTTAAAAAATACTGAAACAAGATTTTTCAAATATATTTTTCCCTATTTCCAACTGAATTGTTTCATAAAAAATTATTTCCTGAAGCAATTAATCAGGCAATCAATCATTGAATCGAGAAAATTATCCGGAAAAAAATCAAAACTTCAGTCGGAAATAGTAAAAATGTAAAAAATTTAGACATCAGTTTTACTGGGGGTCACGTACAATGTCGAAAACAGAATGACTTCCGGATGAATATTCGTTGACAACCTGGCCTAGTTCAGCTGCAAACCAAATTACGACAACTGGGACAGCCCAGATGAATATTTACACGGAGTAACTTGGCTTCTTTCATTATTCACTTGGATAAATATTGGAGTCTACTTTTTGGACTGGATATTGATTCTGGGGTGTTTCATTAACTAAGAGTGTTTGGCTTTCTTTCAGAGTTTTTGGTGACTTTGAGATCATTCCGGAGGGGATTGGAAGTCATGGAGTGGAGCCACTGGGGATTGACACTGTGTATTCTATTTAGTGCGCTGGGCACTGTGTCCCTGTCAGACGGGGAGGGGAGGAAGCTGTCCAGGAGGAGGCGTTATGTCGTTTTTCCGGAAGGCTCGAGCTTCTCTGTAAGTGATTTGTATCGTTTTGGTCAGACATTCAGCTTGTCGTTGGGGTCAACAGTGGAAGAAGCAGATTAGTCTGACGCTAATAATCCGAAACGGCACTAGAAAAATGCCTGAAATTAAGACATTAAGGATATCTAAATGCTTTGGATATTTTTTCTCCAGTGAAACGCTCACTTCATTTGCTCGCTATTTTATTATTTAAACTTTAATTAATTAAAGTTTTAATTTTTAAAATAATTAATCGTTCCACATCATTTTATCAAATTCAATGAAATTTCTTCTCTAACCAATTGTGTTATATTCTTAGTTTAGTTTAATATTTGAAAAATACGTGGATATCCTTAAATTCGGTGACTTATATTCCACCACATTTCTGTGTCTGAAGTGTCCAATTGCGACGCTTGGAAGATACTAGAGTCACAAAGTCTCGGCTCCTAATCTTTCAAATAAATCCAGAAGCATTTGAACGTTTTCTGCAGATAGCCCTCTGTATGACAATGCACACATTGACTCCCGATAATATCTTCACGGAGGGTCTCAATTGGGGTATCTCCTATGACTTACCCAACGAGAGTAAACCAGCACTCGAGCCGTTTCTTCAATTACGTAAGGACCGGCCAATTCCATCTAAGCACCACTACAAACTAAACAAGGATCATATCAGAAATGAGAATTCACTCAAGTACAACAATTGGTACAAGCACCCTGGTAATCGGTACTACAATCTCGATGACGGTAAAAAGTACTATTATCGGAAATCGGATTACGACTACATTAAACGGAGACATCGGAGGGAACTCTATAACAAGTTGGAGGTGATCATGAACGCGTGAGTATTCTCAACAGTTATTTATTGAATTTATTTATTTTTGCCTCCGAATGGAAGCATTTTTTTCATTCTCATTTTTTTTCGAAATTTACTTATAAGGGATCAATTCAATTTCACGATTTTTTCATGAATATAGATTTTAATAAATTCTATTCATTGACACTAATTAAAAATCAATTTTTCATACAGATTCGAGAAAATTTATATTTTTCCAAAAATTGATTTTTCAACGATCACTCACAAAAATGTCATCAAAATGGAATTAGTCGTGGCTCAAAAAATTGATTAAACCTTGATTGAACCTCGACTCAACCCGGACTGAAAACGAATTCGAGTCTTGAGAGGGTTTGAATATAGAATTATTCAATAAAACGAAATAATCCGTAAAATTTTGATGGCATTTCAATTGATGAAACAAACTGCTAATGTATTAGCAACAATAACTACCCAATTATTCAAAATTTTTCCATTTTTCGTTCAACTATGAATATAAACATACACTTCCATGAGCAATGAATATGCAGCTGCACCTGGAATAATTCAAACAAGTTATTCACATTCCTCAAAAATCGGAGAAGTAGCTGCTGTTTTTCGAATGAGCCCAAGCATAAAAATAATCAATTCCCAAAGTGATGAGGATAAATCTGGTTATATATCAAGGACACGACTACTGCTGGTGGAAACTATTTTTCCTGGTCGTTGGCCCGAGGAATGGATAAATGGTCCGTCGGCTTCGTCCGCAGAGTATCTCGTACCATTATCCCCCCTATTCCATTTACTCCAGAGGATTTCACCAGAGGTTGTCATGTTCTATCACTGTCTTGACCCTCTCTCGTCCATGCGGGTCACCTGCTGCGTTCTATGTTCGTGGACAACTAGTTCACTGTTAATTTTAACACAATAAGTTCTGAATTGGGATGATACCATGGCTTCGCGGCTGAATGAAGTTCGAGTTGGATAGGGTGTCACTGTCTCATCATCCACGTGGGTAGCAATGTTGGGAGTTAATATAGTTTGCCGTTGGTTGTGAGGCAAATGTAATGTTGGTAAATATTAATTCCCAAGGAGTTGTAGAGTCGTGCAATACTTTGTTGAGGATTTGCGATGAGTTGCTGGTATGAGTCGACTGGTATAAATTTGCCTCAAGTTCCTATGGATTTACTAAAAGTTACCATCGATTTCTTCATGAATTTGCAATTAATTGCAGCCAATTCGCATGGATTGAGAAGTGCCTACACTTAACTTAGAGTTTATCATCACCACAGAATGAAAAATCTGCTATTAGATGACTCCCTCATGCCTTCATGACCATTTCTCCAATAGAAGCCTCAACCTCACCAAAGATATCACCCGATCCATAAAAGTTCCACCGAATGGCAATCAAATAGCTGCCCCACAATCACAAAATAATTCATCCCCCCATCAGTCCTCTCCTCTCCAATCCCAAACCGACTAATTCACTCTTCTTACAACTAGAAAACGAGTCCACGGGGAGCATAACGCATTCTCTTCACAGATGCATTTTCGTAGAACAGTTGGATTCGAACGACTCCCTGCGCTCATTCAGAAGCTGCCTGATGCTTGTAAGAACTCTCCAAATTAATGGCCAGCATTTACAGTGAATCGTCGACGCGCTTCGCAAAATCTTCTCCTTCTACCTTCCCTCTTATTACTGACGAGCACTACTCTCCCACCACTACCCACGTATCAGCGTTCTTCCTCTCTCCCTCCTAGCGCCCGCTCGTCTCTCGATTTTATTTTTTTTTATTTTTCACCCTCAACTAACCGTCGTCGCAACGACGGAGGAGAGCCAGAGACGTCGACGATTCGCGTTTATCGACTTTTTGTTCTATTTTCATGCGCGTTTTCAATTACCCGGACAACGGGATGACAGCCGACCGCTGTCGACTCTCCCTTTTCTATTGTCGGAGTTCGTCGGGCGAATAAGGAAAAAGGGGAATGTTTTTTTTGTCCCCCGATCTTTCTCCACAAAACTAATGGCGATAGCAGGAATTCCGTTAAATGGATAATTGAAAAATGGTGTCATGTGCGTAGGAGATGCTTTACCATCAGACCTTTCTCGCGGGGAAAAAAATTGTTGCCAACCGATGCCAATCAATGATTATCCGGAATTCAACTCTGGCTATAGCTTTCTCTTATTTTTCCAGCAAACAGATCAAGTTTCCTCCTTCAACTTTGTCGAAACGAGTGAGTGGATTTGAACGATAACGGTTTAGTTAAAGAGTTGAGGAGCTTCCCTATTTTTATTGTTCTAGCTCTCCATCTGCAGGTGTTGTTTCGCTCGAGAGAGCTGAATGTTTGAAGCTCTATGCCAGCTTCGGAATTTCTCTCTCCCCTTCCGCGAAAGTTCAGGTATACTCGGGCTGTTATGTGAAGTGGGCGATAATTTTTGGAATTGAAAGTTTCGAGATGAAACTTCTATTTGGCTGGTAATTTAGGCTCAGTGAAGTCAAGTGGGAATTGGCGAATTCCTAGAGTCATCAGCTGACAATTTGATGAATTAATAGATTGAAAAATGTATACAGAGTTGTTCCTAAATTGTTTTTGCAGTTGGAAAAACCACGCTTGTTTCCCTCTCCCAAATCCCAACTTTCCAGATAAGATATCGCAATATTTCTCTCGTCCTCGAGTTTCCCAGTGATTCGCCAGGAGTCCTCCACAAAATAACCAAAAATACCGAATCAAAGGGAGGAATAAACTAAGAGACCATCCCATCATCTCGTCTCCATCCATTCCTCTAGTTTTTCGTGAAGAAACTGAGAGAAAAAAAAGAAACGTTCGAACTCCATGATTTAGTACGTGTATATATACGTTACGATGAAATAGGAGTTTCACGAAAGGTACGGCAGCCAGCTCAAGAGGGTGGTCAGGAAACTAATGAAAGCTTCTTTCCAAAGGAAAAGGTTCAATGGCTCTCTCTATTTTCTTTCACTTCGTTTTCCTCAACCTTTTCAAATTCACCGACTGCAGTAATATATGTTTCTCCACTTTAGTTTAATCCAGAGAGATATTCTGCTCGATGGATGATTAGTTTTCGTGAAAGACTTGATGCAAACATTGTTCGTGAGAGGTAGAGAGAAATATTTGTAACTTTACCGAAGGTTCACCTGTTGTCTTGGAATTTCGGTGAACACCTCTAATTTTTTTCCATCAACATCTGTTATAGGATGGGCTTTGAAGGACGAACATGCATACAACGCGCCCTCTGCGAAGCCTCGCAGCGTTTGATGCCAAAAGGAAACACCCTCGTTGAGGAAATGATGAGGATAGCTTTCTCGTAAGAATGACAACAACCAAATAGTCTTTTGCATGTGAGCAAATGGCGATGATGCCCAATTCGGCTGGCTTCATGCTCGGTTTTTCACCATAGGATACTCCCCCAGTATTTCCAAAACGGATCGTATAAATGGGAGGGAGCCAAACTCGATGCTTCTGGGCGTCGAACCGTTAAAGATTGCTGCAATTCCGGTGGGGCTTTGCTTATTCACTAGGTGGGATTGTGCGGAGGGGCGGGGGTGTTCCGATCCAAGGAATCGATTTCGAAAAGTAATCCTCAGGGAGAATACTGGGTGTAATCACTCGTGGATTCTTGTCGATCGATCTCACAGGCTTCAGTGACAGTCGAATCGAAGTGGATACGTTTTTTCGGCTTTTCTTTCACTTTGCTCGGTTGGGACTTTACTTGAGAGGTTGATTAAATCCTACGCTCGTGACAATCGTTTGCCTGTCAAGTTTAACATGAAATATTTATCGGAATGGTGGGAGGAAATTTTATGGAATGCTGCGGGTGGGGGAGAAACATTGCGGTAGGGGGACCGCTGCAGGATTGTCGCTTGATTTATTTAGCGAAAGCTTTGGGTTTCGAACGCGAACGTTATCTGTTGAGAGTGTCCAGTTTGTGGGGATCAGCTGTGGCTCACATTCTTTCATTTTATTTCACAATTTGGGAAAGCACTGAATTCATTCGTCCGAAGAGGCTTGTCTTTCGTGAATGAAAGGGTGCTTTCTGCGATGAAATATTTACGAAAAGAGTTTTGCATCTCCATTAGGTAGACTTCCCAACCAGTCGTGATACGTAGTATTGGACAAATGCCCACAAGTGCAACAGCAATTGTAGCAACGTCATCCGCACAGTTTGAAGCCTCAACTAAACTCCTCTCTGCTGACGAATACAGTATTGCCATGTACTACTGATTCTCACTCGGTGCAATTCCGTTATAATGAAATTGACGTTCTTCAGGAGTTGAATGCCACTCCAGTTAGATGCTGTATCGCTGACAGCGTCCGGATAAATTGTCCACTCAGTTACGATATTTCATTAATTCTATCGTGTACCTGTAGGTTACCACTGAAGAGGGTGTTGCTGTCCCACGAGCCGGTGGAACATCACACATACACAGAGGCTCATCGTGCTGGCCGCAAGGGCACCAGGTGCGATACCATGTTCTCGGGATGTCCCTTCTCACTCATAGACATGGCCCTTGGGAAGTACAGCAGTGAGACTGGATCTCAGCCTGACCTACCGGAACCTGTGCAGGATATTCCCGGAAATTCGGTGATGAAATACTTCATGAAGTGAACTATAAGTTTAATTGGTTTTTAAACAATAATTATCTCGTTAATTTGACAATTTTTCATCTTGGCCAAATTTTTTTAGTGTCAGCAATTCGATGTTTGACGAATGCTGTTCAATTTTATTGTACAAGGGATTAAAATTAATACGTTCGACAATGGTTATGCAGTTGTTCAGGATAAACAGCTATAATCCAATTCTACCCATTTTTGATAAACAAAATTGTAAAAGAGTGAACAGATATCGATTCAACGGTTGCTGGCTACGCCCTAGTTTACACACCGAGTGGTGGGGTATCTCTCACACCCTCATTCTCCACTTTTACCACCGGTTCATCCCTTTTCTGGATCTTCAATTTCCTACCACACGTAACCCACCCACGATAGTATCTATCTCCTGCGGTTGACCAAAAAATTTCCCATAAAATCGTGAAAGTGTCCAATGAACTTTCTAGTATATTCTCGGGCAAACCAGTTCTGTCCCTGTGTGGTCTACCTTTTTTTGGTGGTTCCATTCGTACCACCAAATGAGTAACCCCCATTGGAATTGGTCTCGATTAACGATCACCAGGGTGGCAATTCAACAGAATGGTTCCGGCTGGATGGGCAGGGGTGATTGTGATTGTTCGAGGGCTTTTGCGGGCGGAAACTGCGTATGCGCGCATTAATCAGTGGCTCATCTGGATTTTTGATCACAGGAAAAAATTCAAGCTTTCGCCGGATTCCACTGATTTCTGCAGATACTCTCTACAGAAAAATCCACAGCAACTGATTCGTTCAAAACACTTCGACCAATATTCTTTACGCTCTTCAGATAAATTGGAGTATTGATTTGCCCCCCTGTCAATTGATATTTCAAATATTGAACTTTTTATACTTTGCACCGTCCCCTTCCAACTTTCAGAAGACAGGAATTCCAGACTGCTGCACCCATCGAGCGCCCAGAAAAGGAACAAATTGGAGAGCAGGAGAAAACTCTCGAGAAACGAGGAAGAAGAGAGATCGTTGCCGAGTGCGACTCTCAAAAATTATAAGTCCAGAGACTTTGGGAGTATTGATTCTCGTACTCCGCTGGGTCCTTTTATCCCCGGTTACCAACGTGGCGAGTATTCTTAAACAAATTCAACTTGTCGAGAAACTCGGCGGCCGGGCTTCCCTGCAGAATTAAGGGCTAACGTTGACCATTGCTGTGAGTCAATACGTGAGTGCTGTGTGTCCTGAGATTTTTCTCACATTTCGGCTCTCTCTTCCGCTCGGAAGTCGACTAAATATTCTCCAACAGAAATTTTTTCTTTCTTTTACGAGTTGATGACCTGAATGAGATATTTTTTCATCGAGAAAGTGTTTGCACATGATGAAATAAATCGATACAACACTTTTTATATATATTTTATTTTCGAGCCACCGCAAATACCTCTAAAAATCCCATCAAATTGATAGATTGTCCCGCCGCAAAGGCTCCATCATCTTCCCCAAACTGAATGAACACATCACGTATTCACGAACTGCTGCTTGAATGGTTCGACATTATTGATCGATAATTCAAGATCGAGACACGTGGTCTCAACGCTTCTGGTGCTTTCTGTTCAATCACTTTGGCTGAGGTGACATGCCTCTCGTAAACACGTCGTAAGGATGAGTTGTCGATGTGATTGAGTGAGCAGAACGAAATCCCACAAGTACTCAAACAACTTGTTTTCATTTTTATTGAAAATCAATCGGGCGAGTCAATCTTTGAAATGAAATATGTCAAGAGGAAATCATCAGAATTTGTTATTCTGATGTTTTTCCAATGAGACTTTATTTTCGAAGGGATTGGTCAGTATTATTCATCACACTTGGGTATTATAATATGACCCTCATGACCCTTATGGCTGACCGTTATTTTATAGCATGAAGACGTCAACAAATCGTTTAGTACGATGAAATACTATTTGAAATATATATTTCAAGTTGTCTATTTCGGTCGACCAAATAGTATTTATTTATATGGCTTTTTGACATTGAAATAAAATAATCATTTGATATTTGAATTAAGTAAATAATCTGAACAAATTATTTAAATACTATTTTATTTGCGACGTTCAATAACTCCAAAATAGTAATTAGTCATAAATATTTGAAATAGTACTCCAAATAGTATTTTTCCAGCTCATAAGACATCTTTCGTCCATGCTTTGCATCATTTGCATGCATGACATACCCGCGATTGGCTGGCAATCGGCGATCTTGGTGTGCCCGTGAAATTTATGGCACTAGTAGACTACCTCCTGAACGCACCGAATGGACACGGGATATCGATTTCAGCTGAGAGAGAAGAAGGTGAAACGCGGACACCTGATGTATATATGTAACATCCAGTGACGCCGTGCGAGGTGGCAGTATCTCGACGGTTTACGAGGCGATGGGTAGAGATTTAAGGGACATCCCCTCGCTTCACCGCCGCCCCGGCTATGCCATCAGTCTGCCGTTCGCTCATTGAGTGCGCTTGACAGACGCTCGTAGTGGTGTAGTGACGCGCACGGCAGAGGACGCTCCATTCACTCCGCGTACTTCACTCTGATCATTCCGTCCGACAACTCCGTTTGTCATTGACGAGAATGAATGTATTCATGTGATATATCCGGACATTTATCATTCCAGGATGTACATGCCAAGAATTTCTCGTCCAGAATTTTGAAAATTTCGTGACACTCGTGATGTCATTGGACACAGAAGCGAATCAGTTGAAGATTATGTAAAGGTGGAATAGGTTGACAAAGGTGGAATGCCAGCAGTCGACAAATTTATGGCTCCGTTTCTCAAGTCATATTCTCAGATTTCTCGGAATTCTGTGTATGGAGAATGGGATACGTCTATGCTTGAAGTACCTCGGCAATGGGTCAGGCAATAACACGAGGGAAGACGAGCGTGAGACTACTTCAGGTGAAAATGAGACTCTTGTGATGTTGAGGGGTGGGGAAAACAAAGCGGAAGGATTGTTGAAAACTTGAAAACAGGATTTATGAGGAACGTGAGAACATCACATTGGGTTTCCCGTTGTGATTTTATTTTCAGGGGTGATGAGGTGCTTTGGATGGAAGCGATCTTCGGACAGCCATCGACTCGCCGATCCGGGAAATGGATCCCAGCGAATCAAGGAGCTTCCGACCATTCGGAGAAACTGCACATTCCATTGGACCGGGTTGGATTTTTCTGGGCTCTTTTCAGGATTTCCTTTCAGTTTCGACTGGGCCGTGCGCTCTTTTTGACTTGGATTCTCTTGGCGTTGGATAGTCGTCCAGGTCTATCGTTTTTATTTTTATTTTTACAGTCAATTGGTTATAATCATTCTCATTGCAAAAGGCAATCATTACCGATTAATTAAAATTCTTCTTTATTATCATTTTTTTCGTTTCTTTTTCTGTAAAAAATTGTATTTGGGAAAAATTTATCAATGAACTGAGGATCAGACTTACGTAGAAAATAGAATAAAAAAAGATTTGTAAACTATTACATCGATCTAAAATCTTGTTTTTCCTTCGCAAAAATAAAGAGGATTTTGTGAGTGGTACAAACTCCACTGTTTCACTCGCGGTAAAATCATACAAATTCCCCCGTGAGCTGTAATCCATTTGTTTTCGTTCATTTATTTTTTTTTCGCTCCAGCACTGCTTGTTCCTAATGTTTGTCAGTCCCAGTGATTCAAACGAAACGATATAAAAACGAAATCGCACAAAAGTTGGGAAACTAGTTGTACAGTTGTTTCGTAGTTTTGGGAGCTGTTTCATTTTTAATTTGTTATAAAACCCCTCGTTCAGGTGAATCTATACTCCATGAAACTAAATAACACCGGAAAACAAAACAAAAAACCCAGTGTGGAGAAAAAGGGAAAGGACGCGCAGAGTTTTCATTAAAATTTCAAGCGGTTTTTGCGAACCTGGGGACAAAGAAATATTCGAATAAATTCTCTCGCGAATGGTGCAACCGATGCAAACATATTCGGAACCATCGGGTTTTGCCATTTCTTTTTTTTTCCCTCGCGGTTTTATGTACTTTATCCAGTTCACGCCATATGCCGACGTTTTGGTATACCTATCTCTCATGGAGTCTGCCAGCAACTCCGTTAAATTTTGAACCTCAAGTGCGGGGTCAGGCGTTTTATTCAAACGATTTTAATCGATGCTTGGGGTTGAAAGCATTTAGCCATCAGATTACTCGGGAATTTACGGTGTATGCTCCAACGGAAAATTTTCGGAATTGACGAAGCGCAGAAACATGATTTTTTGTATATGTTAGAATGATTTAGCAGAAAATAAAATTAAGTTCTTTGAGTAGAGCTTACGTTACTTTCGAAATCGAAACGATTGCGCCCTTTTTTCTCCTGGAACAATTAAGAATGTAGTACGTAGATCGGGGACTCCCAATACGGACGGCGACAGGAGAAAGTCAACGTTGGCGGCAGCACTGAGAGCGGAGCCTTACATTCGCATTCGTTGGATAGTAGAAAAACCCGAAATTGATCCTTTCAGTTCTTCAAAGGTTTTTATTTGTAAAAATATGATAATTTAACGAAAATAAAAGACGACTGTTGTGGTCGTCGGCTGTAATTTTCTTTCAATTTCTATGAGAATTTGGCTCGACACACGCCGAGTGCAATATTGATAACAGGGGCTTTAATAAATCGTTGCACAGATAAATAATATGGCTTTATTATTCATCCATACATGAAATTTCCGTAAACTCCTCTCCACGCAAAGAATGCTTACAACAAAGGACGAACGCTCTAATCGCTCTGGTAGGAAAAACGACGGGAAGAGGGCCACTGCGGCGATACTACAAAAATCAAGGGAGATTCTCCATTCCTCTCCCTCCACCATTTCACCACTTTTTTTAGTCTGCTGCATATCCCACCTCATCTAAAATCACTGGATGTGAAATCAAAGGGTTCACTGAGAGAGGTCGTTCGATCTGCAGAAAGATTTTTGTTTGCATTTTCGTTTTTTTTTTGCATTAAAAAATGTCGAT